GATGGAGATTTTCATGTGAGCGCACATGTGCTCTCTCCTCTCTCTCTCTCTCTCTCTCTCTCTCTCTTTTCTCTTTTCTTTCTGTGTGGGATCCCTTGTTCCCATGCACCCTGTCCCTACTGTGTATCTTTCTCCTTCCTTATCTACACGCGCCTCGTCGTCCTGCTCTTTCTTTTTTTTTCTTTTCTTTTGTTTCCGTCCGTACTACGTTTATTAGCTAAGATACTTCAACTTCATACTATATACGCACCACCCGAATAAATAAACCACCATTAACTCCCATAAAAACTAGACTTTGTCGTCGTCTACTTGATTTTTTCCTAAGCTCTTCTTCTTTACTTCTCAGTTCTCACCTTAACACAATTCATAATCTTTTTTCTTTTATTTTTTTAGTCGAAAGTATAGCTAACAACGTACGCAAAAACATCGTAGAGCTATTTTAAGCTCTCTCTCTTTCTTTAAATGTCATTTTAATGTTTTTAGTGATACATATGGATTCTTAGTGTCAAGTACCAAAACACAACTTACCTAAACGTAAACCCCGGCCTTGCCCTATGACACTCACATATGCTATATGCAAAATCTTGAATCATTAATCGTTGTATATAATTAGTTATATCAAAGCCTCTAGCTAGCTCTTCTTACTAAGATAAATCTTGAAACATATAGATGATACACTTTATATATAAAAATCGCAGTTATCAAAGAGAAAATAAAGAATCCAATCTACTACAACTGACTACATGTGAGCATGATCCACTTAAGTGAGTGATGTGTCCCCACTTAAGTCTCCAAACCAGTCGACATGGCGCGTGAAATAAACTTCATGTCTCTCCTTCAAGATCCAAATCTATGTATGTAGCTATGTAAATAAAGAAGAATTGAAAAAATAATCTCCAAAATCCGAAACACGAGGATAACTTAATAATAAAATTTAAAAATAAACGAACAACTGGACCCAGCTTTGATGGCAATTAACCATTTTGCTCAACTTCTAAAAATAGAATTTATTTGATCGAGTTTCACAATTTTACATCCTTATTTTTAGACAAACCAAACCAAACCAAACCAAAATTTCGTTTATATAACCGAACCTTTCTTTCACTAATGTTCACACAACAAAATGTAACATCAAAAGCTAAAGCAGAACAAACCAAAGCCAATATAGTAGCATTGTGTCTAGTCTTAAATTAAAAACTCACACAAAAAATAAACCCAAGTAAAATCAGGTTAAACCGATCGACTAAATTTAACCACAGCCATTTTGTCCTATCATCATCCATCACTCATATATATATACAAGACACACTTACACAGTTACACACATCCACATTCCTAGCTTCTTCATTATTCTCTCTTCAAACTCATATCATTCCTCTCTCTCTCTCTCTCTTTCTCCTCCTTCAATGGAAGAAACTCTAGCCACTCCCGCCACAACCACCAGACGTTCTCTTTCACCGTCTTGCTCAGCCTCTGTGAAATCACGCGCCGGTGGTTTCGAGCGCAGAACCAAACGTAGGTTGTCAGAGACTAACGCAATCGCACGTGAAGACCAAGAAGAAGAAGAAGACGAAGTGAAGGAGAAGATTGAGGCTTTGCAGAGGATTATTCCCGGAGGCACGACGCTTGGTGTGGACGCGCTCTTCGAAGAGACAGCTGGTTACATTATGTCTCTACAATGTCAGATCAAAACCATTAAAGTCCTAACTTCCTTTCTCCAACGCTTAGATCAAGAAGACATGAAGTTCGGAGGTTGAAGATGACTATAAACGATATTGTTCTTTCTTCGTTTCCTCTATTCCGCAAAAACCAAAAAAAAAGAAGATAAACAAACTTTTATCTTTTATTTTTATTTTTTTTCTCTGTTTTTTTTTTTAATTTTTTTTTAATTATTAACATGATGAGTTTATTTAGATTTTGATATACGAGGAAAGAGATCTCAGCAATTTTTTTCTTCGAAATCTTTTTCTCTCTTTAGTAGGACTCTTGATTCTCTTGATGAGTTGTGGTTTTTTTAAGCATTTCCGTAGTTATATGAGAAGTGTTCTTCGTTAAACGAAAAATTATCATTAATGAAGGGATCATCAGTGTAGTTTATATAACTTATTTAGTTGGAGGCCATCTAGATGTACTATTAAATTGGATCACGAGGTAGCACTTGCATTTTGATATTTGACATCAATGATATCGAGAAAGTTAATACAACGTGTCCCATTTGAGCTCATTTTCACATGCTTTAATTATATAACAAAGATTTCCGAAGTCGGTCGATCAATTTATTTAAGCTTCTGAGGAAACATATATACTGGCCGATTTGAGCTAGTTCTCCCGTGGTCCAACAATAGAGAGTTCCATGTACCTCTATTGTATATAATTATATTATTCCTTGTGCATTACAAGACAATCTTTTAGTCGTGTAAGTAATCAGAGCTAGTGAGCACATTTTAAAAAAAAAAAATTTTAGTAGCACAGTTCCATATTCTAAACACATTTAAAAAAAAAAAAAATTGTACCGCTAAGAAAATAACTGTTGGATAAGATTCATCATATTTTGTGGCAAATACAGCTTGTGTAACAATATAAATCTCTTTATTCCACACATTAGCGAAAGTTAATAGTTTCGTTACCTTATTTATCCAAATTACATCACAAAAGATTCTCAAATTGTCGATTGTGATATACAAAACAGGACCAACAAAATCATTATTTTGAAAAAGCTCCCCCAGAACTTTACTTGAATCATTGATAATTAGATGAAGTTGTTATAACTTAATACAAATGTAACCATATATATCTTAAACTCTTAAGACTTACTTAAATCATTGATACGTTTATGAGTACTAGTAAGTTGTAAATCATTATTGTTAACGTCAAAATCCTCTACCAATTATAAAAAAATAAATATATTATATATAACTGGTACATGAGACTTCATAATTTATATTTTATTGATGGGAAAGCCACACGTTTTGCCTTATTAGTTATATTTTAATTGGACTTAGTATAACTGGGTCTGGCCCATAAAGGTGGCCCTTTAACAACTTTCGCGGCAATATTTTGTCAACTACACTCGAATCCCTCAACCGTCCGATTTCTCCGATAAAAAGCTAACAACCCTAACGCTGGAAAATTTGAAAAGGCACCTTCGAGAAAATTGTCTTTCCTCTCGACCAACCAAGTTTATAAATCTCCTACTGTGGAATTTGATTTCTTCCTCCTTTTTGTTATTTTGTTGATAAAAGCCATTTTTCTCTCTGTAAATGGCGGTTGAAGTTGTCAATAAAGTTGAAGGAGGCGGCGATAAGAGGAAATTAAAAGTGGAGATTGAGGAACTGGAGAAGAAGAAACAGGAACTGACATGGGATGATCGTGAATTGACAGATAAGGTTGAGAAATTACTGGGAGAGAGTGAGGAGGTTACAAGTATGTAAGTGGATACGAAGCAGAGGTTTCAGGAGATGGCGCAGTTTGAAGAAGAGAAGAAGGTTTTAGAATCTATACCGACGAGAGCTGTGGAGTTTGGGCTAGAGGTAATAAAGATTCATGAATATCTCTCATCAATGCGTTGAGAGGTGTAGATGAGACGGAGGCAGGGGTGGATTGAGAATCTGAGGAAAGTGAGTGAATCACAAATAAGGATATTGAGTTGAAGAAGGATGAGTTGTTGAAAAAGCTAAGAAAACACGAATCAGAAGATCTTGGAGCCAACTAATGGATTTAGAGCTACAAAGGATGTTGTTTGTGGTGGTGACCGAAAGAGATTCTTGGAAGGAGAATCACGATGGCCAGTGGTTGCTGCTGGTTCAGTTGGTGGGAGCGACATTGTTCATATGTTATTTAAAACGAATGTGATGCGATTTGTTTTCCATAGCATTTTTGCAGTTTTACAGTCATATTGGTGCCCAAAATTTGCCTTGGCTTTGGTTTGACTTTGTGATTTGTGATGTTTTTGGTTGTTTTTTTTTTTTTTAATCTTTTGTTGTTTCAGGTTCTTGATAGACTTTTAGGCTATGAATGCACTTTCAAATAGTTTGTAATCTTTCTGTTAACTATATTAGAAAGATAAGCATTTTGCTTATAGATTGCTTGGCAGTGCTTCATTACACAGATCCTAAAGATTGCTCGTAAACTCAGGAAACTAAACAGGGGCAACTTACTATTAGAAACCATTTTGTGTTGGTTATCAGGACAACTTGTCACAGGTCTTGTGCTTATGCTTTTAGTCATTCCTTCCTAATTCATTAGAGGTCGATTTTCCCCATACCTTAATTTTATTGATCAGCAGCCCGGAGAAGCGCAAGGAGTCCGCAACAATTCCTCCATGAAGTTGGTTGCAGCACGGGTTGCTTGGAGCACAGTAGAGGCATCTGAAAATTGTTAAGGCATCTTACTTAATCAATGAAAAGAGCTAAAGCTACATCTAATATGTTGGGTTATGGAGAACGTTATATCATTTCCCACCAATTCAGATTGCAAACCTGGTTTTCATCTTTAGGTACAGGAGATTCATCTAGATGGGTTTCATATTCTTCGACATGAGATGAAACCGGTAAGGACCCGTCAAAATAATACCTGGAAAGGCTGATATCAAGGTCTGAGTTACTTGATGAGTCTTCAGTATCATTTGAATCCGATGCTGACTCGGCTTGAAGAACTTCAGGTGAATTCAGGTTCACTAGGCCTATATCGGCAATCTCGTTGTTATCATTCAAACTGCGGAACATAATATCTGATTGTTCTGTTTCTGCAGGAGTGTCTTCTTGAAATTGAAATACCATCCCTTCAGTGTTGTTGAGATATGGGAAGTTGTTTCTCATGGCGACCTCAGGTATCAAGACATTATTACGCCTAAAAAACTTGAGAACCTTCTCTTCGTCTTCCATATCAGATTCATTGAAATCAGGATCATTGGAGGGGACTGTTTGTGAGTTAGATGGACCCGTGGAGCCTTCTTTGGTGGAGTCTACTGGATTAACCGGATCAGCAATAGTACCTCTGATTCTTTCATCTTCCTTGTCACTCCTCATCTCCTTAATTGAGTTGCTTGCTTCATCAATGGTCTTCTCCTCATCTTCACCTACCTTTTCCATTCCTCTTCTCGTATGTGTCTATGTCTCTATCTTTCGTTCTACTTCAAGCTGCTATGGTATGGAACTTTTGCTGCTTTAAAGAGGACGTCTGTTCATGGTCTCCACTAGAAGAGTACTTCAGATAAAAGTTGCAATCTCCTTGTTCAAATAACGATTACAATATCAAACATAAACTAAAACTAAACAAGGAAGATAAAGAAGAGAAAAAGTAAAATCCTATGATGGAAACTTTTGAAGAGTAGTTGAAAGTAAAAGAGGAACGGCTGATGGACTAAAGGAATAAACTTTCACACCGTTTGTTTGACTAGTTGGTTTAATATGAAAACAAGACATGAGAAACTTTAGAAACAGGATGACATAGGAGAAACACATCAGAATCAGACAAGACAACAAAACCTTATACTTCTTTTCACTATGTTTATTTTCGTTTTGACAAGAAACTGAATGAGATATGTTGTGGAAGTTAGAAATGATCTTAGTTAGAGATGGTCTTGTTGAACCGTTGGTTGAGAAGAGGTTTGAAGCCTGTACATCATTATTTGCTATCTGATGTGATGCAGTGCGTTAAGGATCCATGAACTTGTAACTTAGGAAAAGCATTTATACATAAACATGGTACTTGTGCTACTTACACTGAAGTGCAAAGAAAACATTCAATCTCATTCGTTTCTTTTCTAGTCAATACAAGTCTAGAACTTGTGGTGGTGGACTTTGAATATTGCATACATACAGACTACAACATACCCATGTCTCTATTCTATGACTCCTTGGGAGAAATTTTGATTGGCATTCCAAGGGATGGAAATGGGAGAGGGTCCATGATGATTGTCTCCTCTGGGTAAACTAAGGACCAATCATAATGGGTAACGACGAAATGCAAGAAAACGAGAATGCTAATTTTTGCTAGTTGGTGACCTGCACAAAGCCTTGGTCCACCTCCAAATGGAAGATATGTATATGCCTGTATTGGCTTATCAAACCTTGTTGGATCAAAACTCACTGGATCTTGAAATATTTCAGGATTATAATGAGTTCCATAAGTTGTCCAAAGTATCTGCATTCAAAAAAAGATTCAGAGGTTTCTTTATTAGCATTTCTTGAAAGAAACAGAGTGTTGATTAGAAATTGAAGAATCTAGAGAGATGGATGTGTTATACCTTCCACCCTTTAGGGATTGTGAATCCTCCATACTCAATATCTGCTACTGCTTTTCTAAAGGAACCGAAGATTGGAGGGGATAGTCGCATTGTTTCGCGAACAACTTGCCAACTATACTTCATCTTTTTCACATCTTCCACTGTAAGACGTTCTCCTCCTTTGTTTGCTTTTATCCGAACATGTTCTGAGATGAGCCAAGAGAAATTTAGAGTTGACTATATTATGTTTGCTGATAGGAAAAAAAATGTTCAGAGATTCATTTGATTGTTACCTTGTAGGAGAGTGTCACGGCAAGTTGGGTGCTGAGCTAACATCCTGAAAGTCATGGCCATGGCGTAAGAGGTTGTGTCATGAGCTGCAAACACTAACAAAACCATATTATCTACAACCTCTTCTTCGGTTATCACACCTTTGATCAACTCTTCTATTAGCCTCGAGAAAAGTGTTGTGTTTGGCTTCTCAGCATCTTCTTCCATTTCTCTTCTCTTCTCCCTAACCTTCCCAACAAGAAATGTCTCTATCTCTACCCTTGCCTTCTTCGCTCTACCAAACTTAGAACAAGGAAACTCAACAGGCATAGCGAACACTCCTTCTAAAACCCTCTCAAAGATCTCTAACATCCCAAGCTCCACTTTAATCCCATACAAACACTCAAAGACTACAGTGAAAGTAAGTGCTTTTGCCGAACGGTAGAGGCTAATCTCTTCCTTGCCTTGCCATTCAGTTTCAAGATGAAACTTAACGGTGTCACAGAGCTTAGGTACAATGGACTCCAACCCGTTGTAGCTAAGGCTATTAGCTACAATCCCTCTAAGGACTCGATGCTTCTCGCCTTGCTTAGCCATGATGCAGTTCCTGCCCATTAGCTGAACAGACGATGAAGGCCACGAGCTCACCACCAAGCTAAACTCATTTGACAATATTAGTCTATTGGCTTCAGCTCCGTTGACTACTATTGTTGGTGATCCCATGATTTTTGTCTTGAAGATGTTCCCATGTTTGACGATCCTTGGACTTACGAAATCCTCAAACAATCTGTTGCTTTTTTGAGCTTTGTAGAAGTCCATTGTTTCACCAACCCATGGAAGTCCCATTTCTCCAGGAGGTAGCTTCTTCTTCTTCTGAATCTTCTTTGATACGAACCGGTGATGTTTCTTGCGGAAGAAGAAAAGTGTGCTGGAGATTGTTGCAGCTATGCATAAGAAGACCCATGAGAGAAGGACGTTTGGTTCTAGGACCATTTTTGTTCTGTTTGTTTACTTAACCAATCTGTTAATAATCAAGTTCTGCATAATATCGGATTATGAGGTTGATGAGTATTTATAACTTATAAGAAGAGATTTTTGTGAAATGTTAAGGTCGAACCAAGTGGGATTATCGTAATTACTTTTAAAAAAAAATTTCATCCTTGTTTTGTTCTGACACATGATTGATCTTCAAGATACAGTTCCTTTAGAGCTCAGGCTACAATATCTTAGTATTTTCTTTTGCAGTAGACGGTGATACTAAACATGTTACGCAGATGCAGCATACACATGTATTATGGCGATTACTAAAATTAAAAATATGGATAATAAATAACACATTTCCTTATACGGAAATCACTAAAATAACAAATAGAAATGGTTTGGTTCGTAGTATCATCTAGTGTACATCTTCCCTGTAGTATTTTCTTACTTAAAAACATACATTTTTAGGAATTAAAATACGTACGTATCCTCATAAGAAAACTTAGGATGAGAAAAATGTTAAAACGGCTATAATTGAAAGAAAAAAAAAAAAAATACAGTATAGTAGCTTAGGTTTATTGGTACATGTCTCTTGTATCTCCAAAAAAATATAGTATACTAATTATTTGAGTTTGTATATTTATATACATTGATACATACCGATTTGAATGGCAATATATGGATTAGTTAAATGTCTAATTTTTAAATAACCAATAAAACTTTATACCTCCTATGTTGACTTCGGATTTTTATTTGTTTTGTTCCTTTGGTGGAATTTGGGTAAGAGAGAGACAAGTGCATGTGCTTGGAAATTGGAATATGCTATAACCAAGATTGTAAATGAATGTATCACATATGAATCTGATCCCCATAATCTCCCTCTTAAATAATTTCGTCATAATTTATATCCTTTTTTCTTCATAATAAGTATATATATAACTCTAAATGTAGACACACACTTGCTGACGAAATTTTCATTATATATAAAAATTTGGGAAGTAATAATCATACGCGAATCCCTAAAGATCTGCTATGGCCGGCTGCTTCTGTTATGTCGAAGTTACGTTGCAATCTGCGTTTAAGAGATTGGTGTGTAGTAGTTTACGTTCATTTTAATTAATTAATTATCACTTAAATAAACTAATCGATCTTACGGCGTATAGACTTCCTAATAATCGCATAGCATAATATTTAGTCCTTTGTATACTTTTTGGAATTCATCTTTACCTATCAACCTTGATTGTGTTTATTGATTCTTGAAATTTAGACAGTTCGTTTTTTATGGTTTTGTTCATGCACCTAAGATAAAATTTTCTATTTTTTCTCGCCAGAGGCAAATGCATTACTTGCCTATGAAGAAACTGTCAACCAGCGTCAAAGTTTGAAGAGCTTAGAAGGAAGCTTGGAGTAACGTCTTATCAGATATATAAATGTTGAAGTATACTCATATCTCGTGGTTGTCACATTTACATAAGTTAGTTACTTGATCCAAGAGATACAAGTATGAAGAGACACAACTCTTTGTGTTGTTGTGTCTATTAGTTTTCTATTTAAACCCATTGTAACGTCATGTAAAATAACAAATTTCAGTTTAATAAAAATTTAGTTTCACTCTTGTCTTCTTCACAAGAGAAGAGACAAAAGTCTCTTACTCTGTTTTTTCTTCTTCTCTCTCAAATATTCCAACATGGTATCAGAGCTTTATTGGTCTTAGGGCCTGTACAAGCAAAACAAAAATAAGAAGAAATCCGCTGCAAGTAAAAGAGAGTTAATTTGCAACACAAAATAAAAAAGAGATTAGTTGTTTAATTAAAATATTAAGTTATGGCAGTTTTTTTGTATCAACCAAGCTATGAGCATCTTTAAATATAGTTTCACTTGGAAACTATCAACATTATTATGACGATGATGATGATGTTGACATTGACAACAACAATTATACAAACGTATGAATATGATGGTCGTCAATCATCATCAACAGTATTGTTGTATATATGATCGGTTTGCGAACCCTCTATTATATACAAATTAATATTCACAATTAGGAACGTTTTACTCGAAAATATACAAAGTATAACTTTAGCATATACATAGGGACGCACATAGTTTTGTATGTATAGACATAAGACATGTTTTAGTGTACATTTCATAGATTAAGACATTGATACTTTCACTGGTCGGGGCAATTAATTAGTGCGTCTGGTAGGTCGGATATCGCCTTGAACGCTAAAGATCGAAAAAAGACAACTTGGTCAGTATGTGTTGCCCTAGTTTTGGAGTAATTTATTTTGTACCGTTCTAGCCATTAGTGGAAACCACCTAACTCTTTACGCAGAGCCGTCCCTGACCTTCGTAAGGCTACAAGCTAACCCAAAAAAAGTGGGCATGATATGTAGTCTTTGGGGTTCGAACCTGAGAACTCAGCATATATATCAACACTAAACCGCTGAGTTAAGGAGAATTTTACAAAAAAAAGGTCGAAAAATTTATTTAATATAACGGGCCGCAAGCCAGTGCTTGGCTTGCTTGGCCTCTTCAACGGCTCTGTCTTTACGTCAAATGTTCCTTACTGTTGCACACATTTGATCACCGCATTAATGAATCACATCGACCATACGATGCTACTTCGTTCGCACCAACTTCAACGTTTCTAAAATTTTATGGATTTGTGAAATATTGGGGATATTCATTTAAACGAGACATGGAATTCGTATTATTGCTTTGACCTATCTATAAATCGATACATACACATTACAAGTCTCTTAAGACAAATACAATAAGAGAAAGAAGAAAAAAAGAAGAGAAATATGAAAATTATTCGGTATTTGTCCTAATAATGAAAGGAATCATATCTACTAATATACTAGCCAAAGGCATCTCTGACTCCAAGTGTCAACAGATTTGAATTGATAGACCAATAACTAACATACTTTGAAAGGCCAAGTCTTGACTCTTCTTCACTCTTGTATTACTCTCAAAACCGGTAGATGAAGATGAGAGTTTATTTCTCTCTTCAAAAGTATACCGTAACATGAGTTGTATGAATATATAATCACGTGGTGTCTAGTGTCTACATAGGTTATAAGGACATTAAATCAGACATTCGTATTAACAAAATTGATTTTAAGTTTGTAAACCCCTAATGGCCCAAACCAATCGGTTGGGAGCTACAATAGTGTGTCGGAATCCTACAAAAGGCTAAAAACTGACTCGGACCAGCTTTGGTCATATGGTTAGCGCAATAGCTGGCAGGTTCAACTAATTCGTAATTGATTACATGTTCAGATGATTTGGCGATTTTTTGAACTGGAATGGTGAAAAAAATAGTGGTTGAGTATTTTTTTATTAGTAGTTTATTTGTTTTAAAATAGAGAAATACATCTATTAAGAAAAAGTCATAATTCCAAAAAAAAATAAACGTCAATACCATGTGAGCAAATTATTAGACATGATTATTGAAGGAGAAATAAATATTTCAAATTACATTGGTATAAAGAAAATGGAGAAGCCAGATCTAGGAGCAGCTCCACAGAAGAGACACAGTAGTAGGATAAGTGAAAGAGTGTTTCATTGTTTTGTGATGCATCGGAGCTGGTTAAGATTTCAGACCCACCAAAAATCTACCGACAATGTTACATTTATTCATCTCATCTTTATATAAAAGAAAAAAAAAACTGTAATCAAAAGTTTTCATCTTTTTATTTTATTTTACTTTGGTAGGTCCTCTTCTACCCTTGCATCTCCACGTGCTACACAAGTGTCAAGTGGCATTGCTGTATGTATTATTTACCACTCTCTTATTGTTTGTTACTCAAACCTTAAATGTCACTTGAATGCAAAACTATATACTTAGGTGAAAACCAAAGCCATGGATAAACCCAAAATTTATGCTAATTAAAACCTGAAAAAGAAAAAACACTCTCTATTACCAATGATTTTGATCCAATCTTGTTTTTTGCTTTCCATAAAACGAAGTCGAGAAGAGAGAGACCTTAATCGTAATAAATGCAGCTTGACTTCTGTTTTAACGTCAAGTAAACCACTAATTTAGTATCTCCTTAGCTAATCTTAGAGCAGCACAAAACTAAAGGGTCTACATTAGTCTACCTAGATTCTTGATTTGAGTCTTGATGGCCACTTTGCTTCTTATGTCTCTTTAGTCCTAACAGTGGAAACTTACTTGGACTAATTAGCTTTCACATAATCTCACAGCTAGCTTTGCATTTTAGATGCAAACATGTCCTGCAATAAACATATAAGCAATGTACTGAGTCATTGATTGAAACGTGAATAGTAATACGGATTGAGAGATGAATCATTTCATATGGGAGACAGCTTTCTCATACGCGTCCATGCCTTTCCATGAAAGATTAATTTAACTACTCTATTCATTTTTTTTTTCTTGTAGCAGAATTCCAAGTGTTATTGCAATCACCAAGGGTATTAAATGGGATAGTGTAAATGCACCTGCAACACATCAACTAACCACACACTCCTCCACCTGTTTGTATTTACTTCAAAAACTTTTCAAAAACCCTTTGCTTCCTTCCTTCCCTCTATTTATAAACCGTAGTATCCGTTTTTTACTCTTATCACCAAGGACCACACAACATCTGCAAAACACTTCTCTTTCAGTGAGTTTAGAAATGAGAGGGATGAAGAGTTTCTCCGTTTGGGCTCTCTTTGCTGCTTTACTTTCACAGCAGCTCTTTGCTTCTGTTGCTTCCATAAGGTTCGAGGATGCGAAGACATACTACTCTCCTCCTGACCCACATGCAGGAACTCCTCCCACTGGTAAGACAAAACACATGTAACTTCTTTAGTCATTTGATGTAACAAGAATCTTGAGTACCAAGCATTAACTTTTTCACTTAACTCATGCAGTCTCACATGGAACTCCTCCAGCACACGGTGGAAGCTACACTCCAACTCCTTCCACTCCATCATACACGCCTCCTTCTAACTGTGGAAGTCCACCTTACGACCCTACTCCTTCTACTCCATCTCACCCAAGTCCATCTCACCCTTCAACTCCATCTCACCCATCAACTCCATCTCATCCTTCAACTCCATCACACGCCCCTCCTTGCAACTGTGGAACACCACCTCACGATCCTTCAACGCCTTCACACCCTTCAACGCCTTCACACCCTTCCACGCCTTCACACCCAACGCCTTCAAATCCCCCTTCTGGTGGATATTACTCATCTCCTCCCCCAAGTACTCCGGTCGTTGTGACTCCACCAACACCCATTGTTGACCCAGGCACACCCATCATTGGAGGAAGCCCACCAACTCCCATTATCGATCCAGGCACTCCTGGAACTCCTTTCCTTCCTGCTCCATTCCCACCAATCACTGGAACATGCGAGTAAGTGACAAATATTGATCTCTCTAACGCAAACATCATCGTAAGACAACAATTATCACACTTCATGAGTGTTTTGTTTATGTTCTGTGTGTAGTTACTGGAGAAACCACCCTACATTAATATGGGGCTTGCTTGGCTGGTGGGGAACTGTTGGAGGAGCTTTTGGTACAGTCAGTACCTCCAGCAGCATTCCAGGGTTTGATCCTCACATGAACCTTCTTCAGGCACTTTCCAACAGCCGCACTGATGCCATTGGTGCTCTCTACCGTGAAGGCACAGCGTCTTGGTTAAACTCCATGGTCAACACTAGGTTCCCTTTCACAACCCCTCAAGTCAGAGACCACTTCGTTGCAGGGCTTTCCTCAAACAAGGCAGCCACAAAGCAGGCCCATACCTTCAAGCTTGCTAATGAAGGTCGTCTAAAGCCCAGAAACTGAAATTAAGAGAGTTTCATTTCTCAGTTTGTTTGTTGGTTTATATCAAAAAGCAATCTTAATTATTTATCTTATCATGTGTGCGCTCAGTAGAGAGTTTTCAAGTGTCCTATAGACTCTAGTAATATTTGCGATGGATACTATCTCTTTTTTATATCTAATGTTGCTGTTTCAAAATATTTCTTGATCTTAAATAATATTTAGTAGCTCCCCTGTTTCTCAATCTGTTCAAGAACGTCCAGAGAAATGAAATGCAATCAAATTGAAACTAGTACAGAAACTTTAATCCGAACAAGAAACAGTAAATAGGATCATAAGACATCAACAATATTAAAAGAGACTGGAACAAAAGACAAACATAATTTAATGTATAGACCAAGGTACAGAGAAGTCAAAGTCCAAATATAGCTTGACATGCCTTGTAGACCAACACAATGTCATAACTGCTCCATTAAATTGTCCATGAGCATTTGTAAAATCAGGCTTAAGTGATGTGTCACCAACGGGAAACAACTGGATTAAATCTAGAAACGACAAGTCCATGAGAGAGAGAGAGGGAGAAGGAGCAAACGTTTAAATATATAGCATTAAAGAAGGAGGCAGTACATATCAGAAGTGTGGTGTGGTGTGGTGTTAGTGTAATAAACTCTGAGGAGTAAATATTGCAAGATGGTCTCCATGCATTCAAGTTTAAAACCCCAAGTTCTACCCACCAATGACTAATATCTTTAATGACTCTCTCTATTTTTATGTCTGGTATTTGCATTAATGCATGATATTAAGTTGGTGTCATGTTTTTGGAAACACAGCATCTTTGGAGGTTGAGAGATATCTCTATCCAAGTTTATCTTTACCCAAGGATTGTTCAATTTCTGAGTGTATTAAAAAAATCAGTCTGGTTGCATTAGCCAACTACTAGTGAGAATCAAATTGTTTGTGAAATATATCTAGATTCATGAACTGATGATAGCTACTCAGATCATATGCAATTAATTCCAACTTCAAACAAAACAAAATGTTCAGTCGTAGCTCTTCTTGAACAGAAGTAACCAAACTTTGATCCAATGAATCTATTTTACCATGGAGAGTTTTACAGAAGTAATAAACGTTGAAGTAACTTGAAGGAGTAAAATTTTGAAATCGTGAGCTTTCCTTTGTCATGATCAATGTATGAACAGAGGATTAATATTTACTTGAGTTGCCATTACATTAAGTAGAATTGCTATAGTTCTAGCTCTGCAAATATTTTTTGTCAAGAATTACAGATTTTGTATTCCTTGCTACATTGGATGTGTAGATTGATTCTTTTAGGCTTAATTTGTACATCAGGATATGTAATTTTCGGAACAGGGCTCACTAAGTGGTCTGTTTTAATTTAATCACATCCTGCATTAAGGAAACTAAATTTTTTTTTTTTGGAAACAATCTCCTCAGATTAAGACAGATGCCAGAGCACGTGTGGGGAGCAACAAACAACATTTAGCTATGAGAGTTTTCACTCAATGAACTGATAGGACATGTAGCTTCTTTGGTTGCTCTGTTGCAGTAAACTTTAGGTCTGTTAGTGCTTTGTAACATGCATTTGGCATCAAGAAACTATGACAGATTTTGGTTTTACTATAAATCATGGTGAGAATAAGTGCATGAAAATGTAATAACTCTTGCAAAAATTTTAGGGAGGAGCTGATAATGGAATTGAGGAAGTGAGGTCTCTTTGAAGTCATGCAAAGAGGGTACATCTCTTAACTCCATTTGTTTTCAATATCTTCTGCCATTTTCGTTGTTTCAGGTTTTAGGCGCAGAATCAAATTATTTAGCAGATCAATTGTTCTAAAACCTGAAAAGATTTTGACACAAGGTTGTATTAATAGTTCCATCTTAAGATAGATCATGATGGTCTTTTATCTTTTGAGTTGGTGCCAAGAACTATATCAATTTCTCGCATCAAGCTTCCTTCTTGATATTGCTATATATGATCCCACTAAGAGACCTTTCACCTCTCATTTCACTAATACAGTCTCATCATATAGTGCATGGACTAAGATCCTCATCCATTGATTTGAAATTTAGCAAGTCTCTCAGGTCCACAGCCGTTTTCTCATTTCAGTCTAGAATTTAGTAAACCTGAGGTACCATCTATGATCTCTCTCGCGTAAATTCCTGCATCAACTTCATCTGAAAGTGTGATCTGAGCTGATAAGAGGCATAGAGAGACTGTCCTCTGCAGTATGAAAACAGGAGACAAACAAGGTCTGCCTATAGCCCTCATATATTTCATGTCCATAGTTTAGAATTTAAGAGTTAAAGTTCTTTAATTGTATGTAACTTGGGATCGATCTATGTACATGTATGGAGCTTTTGCATCTCAAGCTGCATTCAAATAGTTTTGTAGCAATTGCATTTTTTTTTTTTTTGTGTCACATCAACACATTTCGATTTGAATATGCAACACTAACTAGCAGTAAGGAAGTAATCAACAAATTTAAAGACTAGCTAGAGCTAGACACCCTTTTTATCTTGAATCTCTTGTCTTATATTACTAGTCTGCCTTTAACAGACATAGTCAGAATATATGTAAATTAGGTCCCTTTCAAATCCTTTACCATCTGCATTATGAGTTTTTGACAGTAAGTGTAACATGAATATATATATATATATGCATAAGATCAATCCCACGTGAGGAAAGAAGCTTATGTTGGACTTAAATTAAACAAGTTGCAGAGGTGGTTGGTCTTGGTTGGAGGAGTTGTGGTTGGGTTCAAGAAGGTTAACCGGAATATAATTCCGGTTATACTGCTCCGACTGGTGAGATGAAGTAACACCTGACTCGTAAACCGTTCCTTGATGTATCACACTCGATTCTTGCTGCTGTAGTCCTGCTCTTTCAGTAATCTGCAGAAATATATAGAATTTGCACATAAGAGATTGCGTACCAAAACCTAATTATAATCAAAATGCTGAAAACAGTAATATAAAACCTTGGAGCGGAGATACATGTTATCGTTTTGCAGCTCAATTTCCTACAATGGACGCAACAACAGAGAAAAACAAAACGACGATCAGAAAGAGAAGTTGCAAATAAAGTAGAGTGAGTTAACTTGTGAAGGAAGATAGGTTTTACTTTTACCCTTTTCTGCATGTATTCAATCTCTGCAACTAACATCTCGTGCTGGAGATCAAACCAAACATATAACAGGGCAAGAGTCAGACGGAGGAGCCATGAAAAAAGATATATTCAAGCATAAGGACATTATTGATGGGAAATACAAGTATAGTGAATTCTAACCTTCTTGGACCGGACACGACTGATTCCTTTCTCAAGCCTACTTTCAAGGTTCTTGAGTTCCTTAAAGTTCAGAGAACCAAGAGACTCACCAAGAATGTGTCTGTTCAGATTCTGAATGTCCCGAATCTGTCTCCTAAGTTTAGAAGCCTCTTGCTGATAGTACTGCATCAATTATTCGATCCAGGGTTTATATATACAAGAGGTTGTAAATTTTTTTAATTCAGATCATAGTTTGACTAACGAACTAGGAGAATGAAGCTAACCTGAGTATTAGCTTCGGTGACGGAAGGAGGGTTAACGGCGTCGGAGCAAGCTTTCTTGTACCTTTCTATTGTTCCTCTCACACTTCACCACGCAGAGAAAAACATTTAATCATTATGTGGCCAAACATAAAACCAGAAGAAGTAAAACAAAAGACACACAACAACTATAACTGTTGGATTCAAACATAAAATCTACACACACAGAAGATATTAAGGTTTCGAAACAGAAAAAAAATGTGTCCGGCCAAAAACCTTAAATTCAGCCGACAACATAAAAGTGATTGGACCAGTACCATATGATTTGTTTACCCTTCTTTTTTTGGGATATTGTATGTTATACACTATATCTATCAACAGTGACATCTCCCACAGTTTTTATTTTAATTATATAATGTAATTTCTTTATTTAAAAATACACAAAAGAAAGAAAAAGTAGCAAATCGGAGATCAAAGAAACGAAAATTTAAAAAGAAACTGAATTTGCATATGCTCTTAGTTAACTAGAATTGGTCCCAATGTGTCAAAAATTTATGAAGCCACAAAATCCAAATTACATTTTTTGGCTAGTAGTGGCTAATAAGGTTTTAAAACATTACTACTAATTGGACTTTAAGAAAAATAAGTGGTCTTCAGGTCAAGTTAGATTCCCTATTCACCAGCAAGCTATAGAGGCGATTTTTGCCAATAATATTTTGGTATAAAAACATTTTTTTTTGTCTCGGACTAAATACCAACAAGTGAAATTTGTAAATACTTTGCCAAATATGAAAAAAAGTCGTAAAGCTATAAATTTTAGTATGTGGATGTTAGACTTTCATATTCATAGAAGCAATTCACATTGTGGTGTATGATGGAAAGCTCAAGTTGAAAAATGTCAAAAGTAAGACAGTAATAAAGCATGAGGGCGTTTGAAATCAGAAAGTTAACTACACTTTTGATAATAGAAACATATAAACCATGGTTTTTCTACATACCTAATGCATTTCTTCTTTTGTTAATCAAATTAGTTGGACACTGACTTATTTAAAAGTACTATTAAGTCATGTCACATGCACCGTTTATAAATAATATGTAGATTCTTTAGTCGTTCAAATTCACATCGTAACTACTAATTTTCTAGTTTTTGACTTAGATCCATGATATGAGACTTGACTAATAAGATCATAGATCATATATAATCCATACATCACCCTTAACTTATAGGATTAATTCAAATAATACTTCAACAAGAAAAAAATGATCACTAGCTAAAAAGCAAACAAAAGAATCAGAAATGGTGAAATGAACATGAGCTGTTAATAGCTGGAAACTTATAGAGAAATGGAAATGACAAGTTCCCAACTCGGAGTGGAGAAAATAACAATGAAAAGTCAAAAAAAAGTTGTCTCATTAGTTTTCTTGATTGATGGATGATTAAATGACTCAACAACAAGCTTTGTCACCAAAACAATTCTTGAATTATCATCACAAACCACAAAACATCAAAATATTAGAGAAGTGTCAGAAGAGAAACACCTACTAGTCTTCCCCTAGTGAATCAGTTTTTAAGGAATCTACATATATAGCTTTTATAATAGCCCAAATTAACTATTATTATAATCTATCAAGAACCCTACTTTTTCATTGCTATGATGGAAACCTAATGATCAATCTGCAGAAATAATTCTTGATGGGCCAACAAATTGATCGAAGTGTCTTGTAGAAACTGACATATATATAGATGCTGTTTTTAAGATTTGTGTAAGAAAAAAAAGTGACTGGAACAAGGTATGGGGATGCTAATTATTAATGATCAGAGAAGACTCACAGCTTTATTTTACAGAGAGGGAGAGAGAAGTTAAAGTAATCAAAATTTTCCCCAAAAACAAAACTAGGGTTCCCAGTTATAAACAACCCTAAATCTGAGGATTTTCAAAATCAGAGAACTGAGCCTCAGAGAAAGTTTGTAATATATAAATCTCACTAAGAGAGAAACGATAAAGATTGGAAAAGCCACCCAAAAAAAAAAAAACTGAATTCTTGAAAAATTCAACAACATTCAAAAAAATCAAGATCTAAAAGAGATATATGTACCTGTTGTTGGCGTACTCGTAGAGACGGCCTCGAGTGGAGAAGATGACAAGAGCAACCTCAGCGTCACACAAGACAGAGAGCTCATAAGCTTTCTTGAGCAAACCATTGCGTCGTTTGCAGAAAGTGACTTGACGATTTGTAGTATTCTCTATCCTCTTTATCTCTATCTTCCCTCTCCCTATCTTCTTGCTGCTCTCTGCTGCTTCATTACTCGCACCATCCTCCATCTTTATAAACCCTAGCTAGAGTATGAATGAACAAAACACAGTCAAACACTACACACAAGAGAGATAGAGAAGCTTGTAAGATCAAGTAATTTTTTTGCACGCAAACTACTAAAGCTATGTCATAAATAACCATACCTACTGGGTTTGCAAAAGACTATCTATGATCAGAAAGAACTAAGGAGAAGTGAGAAGGGGAAGATGAAATCTGAGAGATGTAATTAATTTGGTAGTCTTTGCCTAAAGATACTATTCTTATTATCTCAGTACCACTTAATTGCGGCTTGTGCTTTATTTTTTGTTTTTTTTGTTATTGTTGATTTCTATTTTGGTTTATAATTTCTTTTAGAGGAATATTTCTTTGAAAGTATTTAAAACCCCATATGCAGAAAACAGAAGGTTTGGTAGTTTTTTTCAAACTGCAAATGTTATTAGAAGAAGAAAGAAATTGGACCATTAGTCTAACATTTTGCCAATATATAGATCTCTCTCACACCTAATTCTCTATGTATGCATTAAGACTGAGTATTGAAATTGATTGGAATTAAGTGCTTGAAAATATCAAAATAGGAAAAAAAGAAAAAAAGAAGAAGTGGAGAGAGTTGGGTTTGGATTGGGTGGGGAGAAGAGCTATAGCTAGCATTGAAGGAGGACCATCCAATTTTTTTCTTTCATGGTTTGGGGAAAAAAGAGAGGTATGGGCTCTGTTTCTCATCAGAATCATCTTTTGGAAACTTTCCTTTTTTGGTAATTCCTTTTTTTATTCTCATTTTCTTTTTATATATACGTACGTCGTTCATATAATTTTTACCCGATTTTTTTTTTGTAAATCACCTGATTTATATTTATATTTATTAGTATCACTTTTCCGATTAATTTAAGCAATATTTAGCATATATGATATGCTTGGACTTAAGAATTTTGTGTGGCTAACTCGTTCACCGTAAACTTAATTAGGGTGCATGTTTCAGGTTTTTCTTTAACAACTAAAAATTGTAAATAAATGTGCAAAACACAAAAGAAAAAATAATTGTTTGTGTTTAAAAAAGGTAATGTAAAAATTACATAGCGTAACTGGTTTCGTGTTTCCAAATTCTTATGTTCGAGTCATATTCGTGGACATTTAAGTTAGTCCAACGGCATCTTGAATATGTAATTAAGGGATTAGTTAGTTTGATATACGTAATTTAGACAAGGAACTAACTACAACATCATATAAATATGCGACAAGTAATATATAATTAGAGAAGATGAAGAATTAATAAATTAAGTAAATGCATGAGAGGGGCATGAGAGCCCACGGAGAAATGACTAATCATAATGTATAGTCATAATCCCATATGACCCCTTTCTCAGATTTGCATTAATTAATTGTAGTTACGAAAGGAAACTCGTTTGTGTTTTACCCATACCTCATAATTTTCATTGTACGTACTTAGTACTTCTCTATTCGATTTTATTCACGAGTAACATCTACATATATACACTTTCACATTCATGTCAAATCTATTAAAGTCTCAAATTCTGCAAAATTCACTTCAAGAAAGAACTTGAGTGTTTGGTAGGGCTTTCATTGACTTTGGTGCTATTTTTTCAAACTCAAAAGCATATCATTAAGAAAACATACCTTGAAATTGCAAAGCTAGTTAGTGAAGAAAACACCCAAATTTGATTGCTCTGGTTCTCTGTTGTGTGGAGCGTTAGCGTGAATTAATATACTTTCATATATGGGAGTAATATTTAATTACTAGCTTAGTGACAAAAAAATCTTAATCAAATAGACTACTAATGAAGAAAAAGGTAAATAATAAATACGTGCGTAAGAAGGATGAATTGTATAAAGATTACTTTTACTAGCTCAGTGACAAAAAAAAAAAAAGTTAAATCTGCATCAAATTAAACGATCACTGATGAACCTCGGTTTCATGAAAAGAAAGAAGCATATAAATTGGTAAGAAAGAGAGAGTTTCTATAAAGACGTCAAATTAAAGGACATGTGACTTATTCAGAATTTTAACAAAAAGTCGATCGCTTAACCAAATTTTCATAATCAAGTTTGTGTAATACATATGTATGTCCAAATCTCATTAATTAAGGCGTAGTTTCTTGATCACTAACTCTTGTGAAAAAGAAAAGAATCTTGTTAACCAAAAATATATTCCATGTATCATTCATAGGGATGCTAAAACCCAAGATTTGGATTTCCCTTCTTAGTCTGTAATATTTTACCAAGAATTAATTACTTGGAAATATATTATTTTCTTAGAAACAAATAGAGAGAGAGGAAATGGGTTCATACATATGCTAACGTACGTATCAACGGGTTGGAGATTCTTTACCTGAGGTTGTTGCCTTAACTTATACAAAGATTCTTGCCTACCACATAGATTCAAGCGGTTGTGTATATATCTAACGTCACAGTGCTAAAGACGTTTGTTCAGAGAGAAGTTTCCGTTGAAAAGAAGAGAAGGACCGACCGTGTCAAAAACTCGAAAAAATGGGTGTCATTATTGTGATTGCAAAACGTTTTGATGCTCTAATTGGGTTTGTTTTCGATCAAATCTTGTCTCATATATATAGAGGATAGAAAATAGAGAAACTCGAATATTTGTTTTAACATTATTTTCTTCTTCTTGTCGCATGCATGCAGGCCTGGAGTCATGCTTCTTTATCCTCTGTAAGTGAAGGCAAATTTAAACTATTTGTTTATAAATAAATAATTTTCAAATTATAAGTAATAAAACTGAATGGATGGGAAATGATGATTAATTAAAGGTATGCATCGTTTCGAGCAATAGAGAGTCCAACAATGTTAGATGATCAACAATGGCTTACATATTGGATCATTTACTCCCTAATAACAATATTCGAGCTATCCGTTTGGAGAGTCCTTGCATGGTAATTATTATAAAATTCCAGTAAACTTTTGTTACGAAGAATTCAGGAATATTATTATGTGCAAAACAATTTGTGTTGTGTTGCATTTTGTAGGCTACCATTTTGGCCATACTTGAAGCTTTTGTTCTGCATGTGGTTGGTGCTACCGATGTTCAGTGGTGCAGCCTACATTTACTCAAATTTCGTTAGACAATACGTCAAAATTGGGATGAATGTTGGGGGAGGAACGAACTATACAGATGAACAGAGAAGAGTTTTACAGATGATGAGCCTTGATGCAAGGAAATCGGTTCAAGACTATGTTGACCGGTTTGGATGGGATTCTGTTGAGAAAGCAATCAAAGCGGTACACTTTTTTTTTTATTACACAATATAATTATCCTCTTGATCTCTTTTATATACACATGTCTGTGATTTTAACTTGATCATATGTGTGTTCTAATAATGTAGGCTGAAAAAGAAACAAGAAGGCATTGAGGTGGAAGATCAAGAATCACCAAAACATTACTCTTTGCTTTGTATATGTATGTGTATAGATCATTATATAGAGACCAAAGCTTTTATGAAGTAAAAGAAAGAGTTATGCTTAAAATTTGTGTGTCTTTTCTATCTTATGTATTCTCTTTCATTGAAAAAAAAAAAAAAAAACAAATCGGATTTTACTTCGGATGACTCACACTTATACCAAAACAAATAGTAGAGAGACTAGAGAAGAACATTGCTCCTCTGCTTTCATGTTTCCTAAGTTTTATCTTTATTTCTTATAAATCTCTTAATCATTAGTGAGATTTATATTTTGTTCAGAGATCCCGTACACACACGAAAAATAATAAATAAATAAACTTTCCATAAATCCATACCAAAAAAATAAAATGATATATGACGTCAGAAATTTATACTACATGTATCTCTATTATTTAATTTACTGGTAAAAAAAAAAAGGAAAATTAGTGGGGAAAAATTAAAAAGAATCCAAAAACCCCTCTTTGTGAATAGATTCGAAGCGCATTACTCTAATTTGACCAATCTATCTAGGGTTTCTCTGGTCACTTGAAGCTTCTCCCTTAAACCTGGTCTCACTCGTCAACCTCTTCCTCTTTTCCCCCTGTCGCCCAAGATTGAATCTTTTTTCAGGTATCTATCCCATCTTATATAATTGGGTGTTTGAGTTTTTCCGACAAACATGTCCTAGACGCTGGCTTCCCTTGTGTTGATGTCCTGTTTTGCTTTTCTGGGTATTAATAGATCTTTCCTTGGAACTTCATTATGGCCATGAATCTGATTACTCGTTCCAATTCGTTGCTTTGCTGTTATGAAAAACGATGCAGGATACGAAAGTTCACAACTTTTTTTTTTTTTTTTTTTTTTTTTTTTTTTTGTGTTTGCTTCTTATCTATCCGCCTAATGTTCCTGTGAAGCAGTTTTGCTTTCATCTGTCATACTTCTTGTTCTTAGCTGGATTTAGTTTTTTTTTTTTTTCCTTTTTTCCCTAGTTAATTTGATGTGTTTGAAATGAATTTTGTGTGACTGAGCTTCTCTTTCTGCCACTAATCTCGTTGCATGACTAGAGTTGGTGGTTGTATTACAAAAAATTTAGACTTTATTCAGGTTGAGTAGGGTTTCTATCTCTAGAGCTCTTAAATTAGCTTTCTATGATGTACAACTTATTGATTTTGAGGAAATGCTCATGGAATTGGCCAGCTGATTATGATTTTTGTTATTCTGCGATTTGGGCATGAAGAGATAAAACATTAACTTTACATTTTTTCTGGCAGTCAGTTCTGGCTTCACCGGATAATTAAGGAATTCAGTAAGATATAAGTTCATTCTGACAACATGGAGACTAAGAATGAGAATTCTGATGTTTTACACGCTGAGGAGTTCAAAAATCAGGCTAACGAAGCTTTCAAAGGTGTGTGTTTTTATTAGAAACGTTACATAATCTTTTGGAATCAGTTGATACTCTTTTAATGGGGAACTCTTTATCTTTTTTATCTTTTTTTTTTTTAAATTTTGAATAAAGGACAGCTCACTAAATTTTGTTTGTTGCTTACAGGTCATAAATACTCCAATGCAATTGATCTTTATACAAAAGCTATTGAACTCAACAGCAACAACGCTGTGTATTGGGCAAACCGTGCATTTGCTCACACAAAACTGGAAGAATATGGCAGTGCAATACTGGATGCATCAAAGGCCATTGAAATTGATTCAAGATACTCTAAGGTTTCATTCTGTGACAAGTTGTTGCTTTTTTTCTTCTTCTCAGGTTTATTCAGCCATATTTGCTGATTATCTACTTAATTATACAGGGATATTACAGGCGTGGTGCTGCTTATCTTGCCATGGGAAAATTTAAGGACGCCTTGAAGGATTTCCAACAGGTTAGTGTTTATTGCAAGAGCATTGTGCCATTTAAGTTCTTGTTTTCTCGTCTATAATTGTTAGCTGTTGGTTTGGTAGTTCTTGTCTTATTTATTCTACATTTTTTGAGTGAAGAGCTCATGTTGAGAAATGTCAAAATACAAAAGATGAAATGTTGTAGTAGTGTAGCTTGAGTCACCCAAAAGGTACACGACTCTGGAAACTTGAGAGTTATCTGTGGAAATCCAGTTTGGCGGTGGACTGTCTTCTTTATCTACTGGCAAGAGGGATTCATGTTACGGTATTACTGACATGGTCTGCTATTTATACTTTAGGTAAAAAGGTTTTCTCCTAATGACCCCGATGCCACAAGAAAGCTAAGAGAATGTGAGAAAGCAGTGATGAAACTCAAATTTGAAGAAGCAATCTCCGTCCCAGTAGCTGAAAGGCGTTCAATAGCTGAGTCCATTGACTTCCACACAATAGGTATTCTTCGTTTGTTTGCTTATTCTTCTGCTGTCTTATAGCTTGCAGTTTGTTCTGTCATCCCTGGTTCTTTCGTCTCTTGTTATGGCCATGCCTTTGATTCAGTAGTTGACAGATGGTTGATGTAGCTTTAGACTAGTAATCATTCTTCTACCTATTGTCACATAATAGGGAACAACCCCAGATCATCATTCATGCCCACCAAAACGGCTCTAGCAGCAGTTGTTGCAGCAGTAATGGTGGTGGCGGTCCGGGGATTTGCCACAACTGAGATACTCATGGTGTTGGTTTCGGTGGTATTAGGGACGTTTTGGTGGGGTAGCTCTGGTAGTAGTGTCTTTTCTCTGGTTAAATCCTCATCCTAGGATCAATGTGTATTGTTTTTATGCATATCAAAGCCTGGATATCTTTCCTGTCTTGGAGTCTCAATTGGGAATTGAAAAGTTCAGTGATATTGATGTGAAAACCATAATCAAATGTGTCCATTGCTTGTAGTTTTTAACATTTATTGAAAACTTATTTTCACTGTTATAGAGGTTTTAACCCTTTATCAATCTTCTAATGGTCTATTTAATTTCATTGTAGAGGTTGAGCCACAGTATTCTGGTGCTAGGATTGAGGGAGAAGAAGTTTCTTTGGATTTTGTGAAAACGATGATGGAAGATTTCAAGAACCAAAAAACATTGCATAAACGGTACATATTTTTTTCTGTGGTACTCAACTTATTTTACACAGAGATCATATCTTCATGCTTTGCCAGCAATATATATGTAGGTACGCATATCAAATCGTCTTACAAACAAGACAAATCTTGCTAGCACTGCCATCTCTTATCGACATTAGCGTTCCGAATGGCAAACATATCACTGTATGTGGTGATGTTCATGGTCAGGTAGGCTATGGTTTCACCTACTCTTCCTTAATAATTTATTCTCTTAGATGAATCTGCAATCTCCAGTTCTCTTTTTTTTTTGTATCAGAAATTTTTAGTAAACAGGTTCCCATACTATACTCTGGAATTGGATTTTATTGTGAATCATTTCTCATATCTTGGTTTTGTTGGCTAACCTTCTTTTCCCCTTTGCACTAGCAAGGGCTGTAGTGCGTTGTATTGTATCTTTGACACGTTAATATTATTTTGCAGTTCTATGATCTACTAAATATCTTCGAGCTCAATGGCCTTCCTAGTGAGGAGAATCCATACCTCTTCAATGGTGACTTTGTGGACAGAGGCTCATTCTCTGTTGAGATCATTCTCACACTATTTGCTTTCAAGTGCATGTGCCCATCATGTAAGTTCTCTGAACCCTTGCTATAATAATTCTTTGATGTTCAAGTTTTAATTGCTTTTGCTATTATTACCAAGGATTAAATGATCTACTATCCTTCTGGGTGAAATGTTCCCAATCAAATTGTAAATCGCCATTGACACAAATTTGTTGCAAATTTGCAGCCATTTATCTAGCCAGAGGAAACCATGAAAGCAAGAGTATGAACAAAATTTATGGTTTTGAGGGAGAGGTTCGGTCCAAGTTGAGTGAAAAATTTGTGGATCTCTTTGCTGAAGTTTTCTGTTACCTACCACTGGCTCATGTTATAAATGGGAAGGTCTTCGTGGTACATGGAGGTCTCTTCAGTGTTGATGGCGTGAAACTCTCAGACATCAGAGCCATTGACCGATTCTGTGAGCCTCCGGAGGAAGGTATGTTTCATCATATACATCTTCTGTAGTTGTGTTTTCTGTTTAACCATCTAATCTTGATAGTGGTTTATTCAGGACTGATGTGTGAACTGTTGTGGAGTGATCCTCAACCTCTCCCTGGAAGAGGCCCAAGCAAGCGAGGAGTTGGTCTATCATTTGGTGGAGATGTAACAAAGAGGTTTTTGCAAGATAACAATCTAGGTTAGTTACGACTTGTTATTATTTGGTTTTGTCTCTGGCGCCAATTTATTCTTGAGATTGCTATTTAAGTTGGATTTTTATGAATGTCAGAGTTGTTGGTCCGCTCACATGAAGTAAAAGATGAAGGCTATGAGGTTGAGCATGATGGAAAACTTATCACCGTCTTCTCTGCACCGAATTACTGTGATCAGGTAACTCAAAACTTCAGTTCTTCAACTTTGGAACAGCACCGAGTTACATAGTTCTTACTTTGACACGGAATTGTATTAATGTAGATGGGTAACAAGGGGGCTTTCATTCGTTTTGAAGCTCCTGATATGAAGCCAAATATTGTTACATTCTCAGCAGTGGTGAGTGTAGTATACTTCTTACACAGCATTGTTCTTGTGAATGTCACGAAACTGGTTCATGGCTTTGTTAGACTCATTTGAAAACTCTCCAGAAACTGGAATCATGAAACTGGATCACGGTTTTGTTAGACTCATTCGAAAACTCTTCTAATTCTTTGATATTTTTTTCTCACAGCCTCACCCGGATGTGAAGCCAATGGCATATGCAAACAATTTTCTCAGGATGTTCAACTAACCAGCAAAAAGTGTCTTCTACTCGAATGATATGCTAAAGGCTCAAGACCAAAAGCGTTTCAGAAGCATAATGATATAAGTTTCTTTTCCTTATCTTCTCCAGTTTTTCATGTTGTTCCATAAAGGGAGCCCATGATAATTAAAGGTACAGTATCCGGATTTGATCGGTTTTTCCTTTTTGATAAAGATGTTCCCTCTTCCTTTAAGCTCATCCAGCAACTTTGGTCCCTTTTGTCTTATGTTGTAAGAGGGGTAATGGATCATTCTTATTTTAGATGAAAGTCTTGTGATTTACCAACGAAAGAGTGACCAAATGACCCCCAAAAACTCTCTGTATTTAGATGGTTTCTTGAATCAAAAATCGAAACATGGTTTTGTTTAGCTTCTTATCTGGTTCTTAGACCTTGGATTCTATTTGAAATAAAGGCGAAGACAGCAAAGTAGAGACAGAGAGGTCAACAGTGTAGAGGTCTTGCCACAGTAATTCTCATGTAGATTCAGTTTTTCCCTTGAGGATTGTACAAAACGGTGAGCTGTTTAAAGGAAAGCTAAGAACAGAGTCTAAAGAGAAGGCTAATAACACTATTGTATTCCCCTCTCTACATGAGGTGTTTCAGATCAAATATACCTGCAGATTCTCATAAGATTCCCACCCATGAATTTTTGCAGAGAATTTTGACAAAAATATGGGCTTTGGTGTTCAACAATGACTAACATGTGGTGGTGATCCATATGCATACTGAAACCATTGATGTTATATAATATATGATATCGGAATATTGCATTATCAATGCATATAGATACATAAACTAAACTGTGGAGAAAGCAAAAGGAGATGGAAATGGAAGAGTGGTGTCAAATCGTAAAGCACTGGTGAAAGGAAGGACTGAGAGATCCAGAAAGCATTACATAAAACAGTTACAAAAAAAAAAGAAAAAAAAAAAAGTTATTACTATTTTTACTTTCAAGGTGTTCAACAAACTTGACAAGTGTTTCTAAAGGGAAGAAGAGATTTAGGTTCTAATATGATGTTTTAATCGGCTCGTTTGGACTACAAATACAGTGACTGTGATGACCGTTTGGGTTAATAATGTTGGTGGTGGGGGACATGTTGTGTGAGGTGGATCATGCTTTGAGTTAGATCCGTACGGTAAATAGTAGTTGGATGATGTTACCCTTCCAGACTCAACAGTCCAAGGCTAAAAGATTAGATCTTTCACTGCATATAATACACACCACACCACATATATCTTACATTGTACTATTTTTACAAAACATCTCCTGCATTATTGCCAAGTCTAGTACATTTTCTTAACGTTTGAAAACTTTGACCTCTTTTTAATTTATTTAATTCATACAATTTTATATTTTCTTCTGTTTTTATAACACCGTTAAGAAAAGTAGTTTGATTCTTTAATAATTCATTAACCAAATCAAGAAGTCAAAAATAAAAGAAGAACATGAAACATAATATTAGATTTGTTACATTTCTTTTCAACTGGTTTGCACTATAGCAAAACGACATTGTACGGTTTAACCCAAAGAAAAATGGCAGAGAAAAAAACAAGTCTCTTTGAGTTATTTCCAATGTTTTTGTAGTATTAAGGTACAAATAACTATGATTTTTTCTGGATCAATTCAAATTATGAATAAGAAAACTTCAGAGAAATTTTGAAGACATGAATAATTGCAGACAGTAAATAGAGAGACATACTATGCCCACCACTTTTCAAAGAGCTTTTCCTTATTAATTTTTTTTAAGTAAAAAACAAAAAAAAATACAAATATCTAATAGAGGAAAGATGATGATTTGAATTACAGATACTTGATAGAAACTATTTTTGTGAACAGTTAAGAAACTATTTTTGCTAATTTTTGAAGCAGTTTGGACTAAAACTATACGTTGTGATTGTCATGTGGTGTGTGTTGTCTTTTTTCTTTTTCTTTTTTTTTTTGTTTCTCATTAGAAGTTTCACAAGTTGTGCATTCAATATCAATTGACGAATACATGATGAAGTGATCAGTTTATAACCAGTTGATTGTGGATCCTAGTATTGAGCCCTGTCTTACTATTTATGATCGTTAGTCTCATCTTTATGTCCTATATGTGAGGAACATCTTCATTTTACAATAGGCTTGGATCATACAAAATCACTTCCTCTATTGTACATTTTCACATAGACTATGAAAGAAAAACATCACATGGTTAGAAACGAAACTAATAACTGACTGTAATTACATATACATATATAGAGAGGGACAGAGACATGAAACAGGAAACCCGCTCCACAGAACCTGAGAGATTCGAGGAGCTAACGTATTCACGAGACTACCACCAACAAAGACAAGTCCTTGAAAAATTGGTTCGAACAATAGTGTTTGAATAAAGAAGAAACATGTGTGTATGGCCTTACAAAAACCTCATCAAGTACTCTTTTTAATTTGTGTCTTCTCTTTCTCTTCCCAATCTCATGTCTTTGAGAGTCCCTACCTCTTTGTCTCTCACGTCCCCACACGTGTCACTTTCAGTCACTTCTATTTATAATTGCATCTCTCTCTCTCTCTCTCTCTCTCTCTCTCTCTCTCTCTCTCTCTCTCTCTCTCTCTCTCTCTCTCTCTCTCTCTCTCTCTCTCTCTCTCTCTCTCTCTCTCTCTCTCTCTCTCTCTCTCTATCACTCACAGTCTCACACACTCAAAAACCTATTCGTATTCTTTACTAGCTTTCTTCTAAGTCTTCACTCTTTTATCATACCTTGTTTAGATTCTGATTGTTCACGTGTCTCTGTCTTGTCTTGTCCCAAATCCTTAAACATTTCACTTAAACTCTTTGAAAGCTTAACCCTTTTCCTAAGTTTCTCTTTTGGGGTTTATGCTCCTCCATGATGCTCTTTCTTCTCAAAGATTCTAATTAACATCACATCTCTCAATTTCTTTTGCATTGGAGAAAGAAAGCAAAACTAATGAAGAACTTTTACGAATTCTCAGTATAATATCCACCCAAGAAACACTCTCTCCTCTCTCTTACACCAAAATCTATGACGATGAAGAGAGCTTTACCATCTCCTTCCTCACTGCTCTTCTTTCTCCTCTCTCTTACACCACTCTTTCTCTGTCGAGGATACAGAGTCTCTGCCTCAATGCCTCCATCTGAGTCAGAAACTCTCTTCAAGATCATGGAGTCAATGTCTTCTGATCAACAATGGCGTCAGTCCCACCCAAACCCTTGCGCACCTGGCTCATCTTGGCCTGGCATTGAATGCAAAACCGGTCCAGACCACTTGTCTCACGTCTCTCGACTCGATTTCGGCTCTGCTCCAAACCCTTCTTGTAAATCCTCTGCTTCTTTCCCTTCTTTAGTCTTCTCTCTCCCTTTTCTCCAATCAGTCTTCTTCTTCAACTGCTTCACTCACTTCCCTACCACAATCATCTTCCCCATTAAGCTCCTCCCTAACTCCTCTCTTCAACAGCTTAGCCTCAGATCAAACCCTTCTCTCTCAGGCCAAATCCCTCCTCTTATTTCTTCTCTCAAATCTTTACAAATCCTCACTCTCTCGCAGAACCGATTAATCGGAGACATCCCTCCGGCGATTTTCTCACTGAAAAGCCTCGTACACCTCGATCTCAGCTACAACAAGCTCACAGGTAAGATTCCTCTGCAATTGGGGAATCTCAACAGCCTCGTTGGCTTAGATTTGAGCTACAATTCTCTAACGGGTACCATCCCTCCAACGATCTCGCAACTGGGTATGCTTCAGAAACTCGACCTGAGCTCGAACGCACTCCTCGGACGGATCCCACAAGGAGTAGAACAGCTTCGTTCTTTATCATTCATGGCGTTAAGCAACAACAAACTAAAAGGAGCTTTCCCAAAAGGAATCTCGAAACTTCAGAGTTTGCAGTACTTCATAATGGATAATAACCCAATGTTCGTTGCTCTCCCCGTTGAACTAGGGTTCCTGCCTAAACTCCAAGAGCTCCAACTCGAGAATTCAGGATATTCCGGCGTTATCCCGGAGAGTTACACCAAACTGATGAACCTTAGCTCGTTGTCTCTGGCCAACAACAGATTGACCGGCGAAATCCCACATGGGTTTGAGTCTTTGCCTCACGTTTTCCATCTGAACCTCAGCAGGAACTTACTGATCGGCGTCGTGCCGTTCGATTCGAGTTTCTTAAGGCGGTTAGGTAAAAACTTGGATTTGAGCGGGAACAGAGGATTGTGTCTGAGTGCAGAGGATGAGTTCAGTGTCGTTAAGACAGGAGTTGATGTCTGCGGGAAGAACGTTACTAGTGGTGCAGCAGCTGCACCGGTCGTGCATTCATCGAAGAAGAAATCTCAAGCTGGTCCTTCTCGGTATTGTAGATCTTGTTTCTTCTCCAGTGGTGCTCTGTTTCAGTTAGCTCTGTTTCTGGGATTACATCAACGATTGGTTCTCTAAGAGGGACAAAAGACAAAACAAACAGACAATTAAATATAGGGTTTATCGAATCCCTGAAAAAGAGAGAAAGATTAGTGTTTGTTCCCAAAGTAGAGACGATGATTTCAAGGGAAATAAATTATTTTAGTAGTCGATTTTGATGTGTATTTAGTTTCCTATTTAAGCAATGTACCTTAAAATGTTGTTTTCTTTATTATTTGGTTTAATAATTAATATATAATACTAGTACGAGTAGTCGAGTAGTAGTATTTTTCATATATTTACATTATTACATATATGGATTGTTAATAGTATTTTTCATAATAATACTAATACTAGTACGATTATGAGTTTAGGTGTAAATATGGATAGTGAACAACTTCATAGCTGAGTTTATAAATACTTGTTTGTATACAAATGGAAGATAACAAATGAAACGACGTTTTCTTTCTTTCTTATATTTGGTAAGAATTAAATTTGAAGTGAAAACAAAATAGTACTCCATGTTTATAGTAATAGACAGTGAGGGCAATGAACAGAAAAATAAGGGAGGACAAAGAGTGTCCAGTGAAGAGAAAAAAACCGCGACACAAACTGATTCAGTATGACCCATGCAGCTAAAAAATTTGAAGAGCTAGAGAGAAGATTATAAATCTTTTAAATTTTGGATTTCATTCATGAACCAACCATCTCTTAGAGTTGTGTTAAGCTATGTTACTGATGTTTGCTCAGCTAAACTCAATTTTGTTATAAAACTGAGTTAAAGTTAAAAGTCATTATTGTAATTAGAGTAAGACCCTATAGTAATACTACCCTATGAATCGTATGCTCATGGTACTTTTTATGTTTTTTTTGTCATCGTATGCTCATGGTACTAAAACCCTATATGATCGTATGCGTATCGAATCTAATAAAAGGAAAAATGATTGATTAAACAAAGCTAATCTTCTTCTTTTTATCTTTATCGTACACACCTTTCGGATATGATGTGACTAAAATGATAGGTTAATATATATTTAAACATGCATAACAAGCACCGAAACCACCATATATAGGATAAAGACTAGAACTAATATATGTATATATATATATATGTATATAAATATGTCAGTCATCTGTCTAAATCCAACTACTTTTCTTTCTCATGCTTTTTTCTTACTGCAAATAATATTTGCATTACCATTGCCTCTCCTCACACATTTCCTCTGTCAAGTTTTCTCATTTATAATATATATATATATATATATATATATATATATATTTTTCAGATATTCCGTTGGCATGAAAAAAGATTTGATTATATTGAAAGATATAAATTTGTAAACATGCAAGCTAGTGATGTAAAAAAATTGTGTTGTTGTGAGATCCTATATACTATTCTTTTTTTTTTAAGACGTACGGGTAAAAAAGTTAACACATCGATCAGTAAAAAAATGTGATTGAGTAGTGATCAGCGTTGGAGAGTTAAAAAAAAGAAAGAAATTATTAGTAACAACAATTTATAGTGTGTTCTTTGAAATGTATGAATGTATGATGTATCAATCAGCAAGAGAAAAACAAAAAGTGTAAGGTAACGTTTCTTATTAATTACTCTTTATGCATGTGTTGAAATACAGAAGGAGCTAGGGAGAGAAAAATCTAATCTTATATATCTATCTATCACTCTCAGGTTCAGAGCCTCACGTGCGCAGGTGAAGAGAAGTTTAGATTTCCATTTTGAGGCACGAATTGAAACTGTTCGACCCATCGCCTTTAACATCTCATTTACTCTCTCATTATCTCACACCTTTAAAAACCAAAAGGCTTAAACCTATGATCTCCTACGCAACGCAGTAGTAGTATAAGGACTGTTTTCAAACTAGAATCTAACCGGTTATGATATTAATCATAATCCAGAAAATAAATGTTGGTTTCATGGTTTGGTTCCAATGGTAAATAAATGAGTGAAGAAGCTACCGAACTGGTATCATCAACAACAACAACAAGAGAGTCCACTTTGAAACACTTCAGTGCGTTTCTACCGGGGCTGACCGGATCAGCCGATAGGGTTTATCAAAAAACAACAACAAGAGAGTCAGAAAATGAGAAAAAGGAAAAGAAAGGGCCGACAGAGAAACTTAATCCTGTTGGGCCAAAGATGTTTATTGATAAGCCCAGATTAAAAATTCAGCCCATTAAGCATTGCAATCGTATTTAGCAAATCGAGGTAAGCAATTGAAACGCTAAAGATAATGCTGATAAGTGTGGGTCCCATATAATTCTGACAGATTAAAGATGTAGAGGATCAATCCAAGTTGGGTCAACCCAGGGTACTCTCCAATGTCTTTCCACCGTCGATTATCAAAAATATCCCATTAGATCACGTACACGTAGGTACTAGTCGATACTCCTTCCGCAGGGGATCGAACACGTGTTATTTATTAAACGAAGAAGAGTAGAAGAAACAATGGTTTGCTTCTTCGCTCCCTTTCTTCTTTACTTCTCTCTTCTTTGAATTTTGGATTATTGTTTTTTTTTGAAAAATCGTTGAAAAATGGAGATATCAGAGAGAGTTAGAGCTCGGTTAGCTGTTCTCTCAGCTCATTTGACGGAAGTGAAACAGGAGTCTCCGGCGATCGAGCGATGGTCCACGTCGGCGGATACGAGTGACGCCGCCGCACCCCATGGATCCCTTAAGGGAAGCCTGACGATCGTCGACGAACGTACCGGGAAGAAATACAAAGTCCCGGTCTCAGAAGATGGTACTATTAAAGCCGTTGATCTCAAAAAGGTATTATTAACTCTGTTTCTTAAATATTCTTGGCTGGCTAGTATAATTTTTATTGTACTTGTTGTTCGGTTGGGTTCGAATTGAATGATCATATGCGTAATGGACAAATTAGTTAAATTTTATAACTTTTTTTTTTTTTTTTGTTTTGAGTTTCGATTCTGTGCTGAGAATTTGGTTATGTTTGGTTTGCAGATAGCTACAGGGAAGGAAGATAAAGGGCTTAAATTATACGATCCTGGTTACTTGAACACGGCTCCTGTTCGGTCTTCCATTTCTTACATCGATGGAGATGAAGGGATCCTCCGTTATCGTGGCTACCCAATTGAGGAGATGGCCGAGAACAGCACTTTTCTGGAGGTTGCTTATCTTCTCAGTAAGTGTATTAGTACTTTTATTTCCTACTTAATTTGTTAGTATTATGTTTCAGCTTTGCTACTCAATTTGTTAGTATTGGTTCTTTTATTGCCATTTAGAGAAAATTATGTTACTGATCGCATTTGGCTTGTATGTATAACCACAAATTTCAAGTGTTGGATGGCTCGAATTATATATTCATGAAAAGTTTCCTCCTTGACTATCTTTTTTTCTTTGGCAGTGTATGGGAATCTTCCCTCTGAAAGTCAACTATCTGATTGGGAGTTTGCAGTTTCTCAGCATTCAGCTGTGCCACAAGGAGTATTAGTAAGTCTCTAGTCCTTGGTATATAAATTTCGGTTTTAACTATTGTCTCTACTTGTTTTCAATCAATAATTCTCAATACGTTTCTGTTACATGTTGTTCTGAGGGTTTTTATCTAACTCCATTTACTTTTCTGCAGGATATTATACAGTCCATGCCTCATGATGCACACCCAATGGGAGTTCTTGTGAGTGCAATGAGTGCGCTTTCCATCTTTCATCCTGATGCAAATCCTGCTCTTAGGGTAGGTTGAAATTACATTACCTCTCTTAGTTCTCTAACAACATGTCAGGCCTTGTCACTTACTAGTGTATAGAATTAGCTCTTTTGATATTGTCCGTATAAACATGTTGACTAATACTCTGTTGGCTGCAGGGCCAGGATATTTACAATTCAAAACAAGTCAGGGATAAACAAATTATCCGCATTATTGGAAAGGTATTTTTGTTATCAGTGGTGACCTTACTTCTTCCTATATATTGTCGTTCGTTCTAGTTACACATGAACATATTTGGACTGTGTATTTCGGGGAGTTCCTTAAGAATATTTTAGAAGTAATTAATGTAACTAAACGTGTTTGTAATTTGCAGGCACCAACAATTGCAGCAGCTGCCTATCTGAGGATGGCAGGGAGGCCTCCTGTTCTTCCTTCAGGCAACCTTTCTTATGCAGAGAATTTCCTCTATATGCTGGATTCCCTGTATGTCTACACTATCTTTCTTCTTGAATTAGTTTGTAACTCAAGTTTTTGTTGGATGATCGCTTGAACCTTTGTTGTGTATTGTACATGACTTGTAGCGTGTCATTAACACCCTCTTTTTTTCTGTTTCTTACAGGGGAAATAGATCATACAAACCTAATCCTCGGCTGGCTCGGGTTTTAGACATCCTCTTCATACTGCATGCAGAGCATGAAATGAACTGCTCCACCGCTGCTGCTCGCCATCTTGCCTCTAGGTACTCTTAGGTTTGAATCATATTGACCATGGTAGGAGATATATTGATTAGGAATTGTCTTCTTGTAGCGGTGTCGATGTGTACACTGCTGTTGCTGGAGCTGTGGGAGCGCTTTATGGTCCACTTCATGGTGGTGCAAATGAGGTAGGCCATTTATCTCATGTCTTCATATGTTAACATCTCCTGATATTTGCATGCTCCATGGTCTTTAAAATTCATGTCTTTGGTTCCATTAGGCTGTGCTTAAGATGTTGTCAGAGATTGGGACTGTTGAAAATATTCCCGAGTTCATCGAGGGTGTGAAGAACAGGTAATATATATGCTTCCATTTTCGATATCTGTGACAAGTATTTTCATTAATATTCTCATCTCTTTGACATCGTAGGAAAAGGAAGATGTCTGGTTTTGGACACCGTGTGTACAAAAACTATGACCCTCGAGCTAAAGTCATCAAGAACCTGGCTGATGAAGTATTTTCCATTGTTGGAAAGGATCCTCTGATTGAGGTACGCTATGTCCACAAAGTTCAAGCTTATACTAAAGCTTGATGCACACCTTTTCGGTTTAGTGTAGTTTTTCATGTTTTCTTAAAGCGAATGTGTTTGATTTTGATGTCTGCAGGTTGCTGTTGCACTTGAGAAGGCAGCTCTCTCCGACGATTATTTTGTTAAGAGAAAGCTTTATCCAAATGTTGATTTCTACTCTGGATTAATATACAGGTAAATTTTTGTGATGCATGTGCAATGCTCATCACTTCCTCTCAACTTCATCTAAATATGCAATCTTGGACCATTAGGGCAATGGGATTTCCACCAGAGTTCTTCACGGTCTTATTCGCGATTCCTCGCATGGCTGGATACTTGTCCCATTGGAAAGAGTCGTTGGATGATCCTGACACCAAGATCATGAGACCACAACAGGTATAGTTAGTCTCTTTGCCAGAATAATACTAATAGGAAGATATTTGTTTGGATCAGTTTAATTGGGATATTGAATATTGCAGGTGTATACGGGCGTGTGGCTGAGGCATTACACACCAGTGAGAGAGAGAATGGTGACGGATGAGTCGAAGGAGTCGGACCAATTGGGTCAAGTCTCGACTTCAAATGCATCAAGAAGACGTTTGGCTGGATCTTCAGTTTAGGCGTAGGCCCTTTGGGTCCATGCTATACATCAAACCACACCGCAAATAATAAAAGAGATTTGGTTCTCTAGCCTAAAGCAAAGAGATTATCGAGTCTTGATTTGATCATACTTTCAAAATTCTCATGTTGTATGCACAATAAAACATATAATCTGATTCAATCCATCATTTCTTCGCCTTATTGTACTTTTATCAGAATGTGTTTATCGTATAAAAAGATTTATGTTTATGGATCATTACTCTAGTTTCCATATCTAATGCTTCTACAACGACTTTTGTTGTGAAATTTCATGGCCAAAGCAACAAGTAGAAACAAAGCAATAAATCATTGGAGAAACTTTTGAAAGATCTATTGTTACAGAATAGGATATCATCAAGCTACAGAGTTTCAAAACTCGGAGTTCTTGAAACTTGGAGCAGCCAAGTAAATGATACACTTGAAGAAAAATGATCTGTAAAAAAGCTATATAAGTTACATTACATGTTTTTGTCTGGCGGCTGCATTTTTTGAAGTTGAAGGAGCAGTTGCAGGAAGGCTGCTGATCCTCTTTGGAGGTGGCTTTTGTCCAGCAGAAGGAAAGCTTCTTGAAGTTGAAGGCGAATTTACTGATAAGCCAGTCCTCTTTGGAGCAGAAATACTAGACAAGACATGATCAGTCAAACCGATCAAGTTTCGAGGATAATGATTGTAGATCAATATAGATGTATAGAGAGAAATACTGAGGACACGTTACCTGAAACTCTTTTGAAACGTGTTCCTTTTCGTTTCAGTAAGATTTCGTCCACCATGAGGAAGGCTTCTTGAAGTTGAAGCAGATAAGCCCGTCCTCTTTGGAGTAGAAACACTAGACAAAACATGATCCATTAAACCAATCAAGTTTGGAGGATAAATAATGTGGATCGATATCAAAAAATAGATGCTGGAGAAACAATACCTGAAACTCTTCTGAATCGTGTTCCTTTTAATTGCAGTAAGATTTTTTACTTCTTGACTGTAATCAAAAGAACCATCGGAAGATTTATATTCAGAAACAGAATGTTGCTAAAAGCATTATTAAGTATAGCCTTGTGATTGATTTTTGAACTGTACCTCTTCAACAGATCTATTTTTGCCTTCTTCATGATGTTGCTCTTCACATGCCCAAGATTGTAACCTGTTGCATTGTTACCTGCAACGAAATCATTCAGTACACTAGAGTACAAAAGCCAGAGGGACAAAACCAATATATGCATGGAGCATTTGCATAATGTTTTTTATTCAAGATCTGATAAGATGCTGCAAAATAATCATATTGATTAAAAAATATGTTACCCCAAAATGGTCTTTTGCTTGGAGGAGCTTTCGAGCAGACCTTGGTTTGTCGACTTTGTTTTCCTGACAAAATTAATTCAAAACGATTAAAAGGGAACAGAAGAAGAACAAATTTTGGTCAAAGAACATGCTTTTCATTATTGATCTAACGGCCCTAAAAAGAAATTTGTAAAGATCATACTTTCATCTTCGTTCTTGTAACGTTGTTTCAGTCGATCCACAACTTTCTTCTCCTTTTCTTCTATGTGTATAACCTTCGCCTGCAAGAAATCATGTGATATATCTTATAATTCAACACTTATATATGTATATCTACATCAAAACCTGAAAAATAAACCCAACCTCGTATAAATCCCTCCATTTGAAATTTACTTTATTCAATTTCATCCCCTCCATAGTATCATTCAAGGCCTCTTCACCAAAGTGCTTCTCATAGAACCCCTTCCAAAACTTATCAGTGACTGGACTAAGATCTGTGTCCTAGCAAAACAAAGACAACGAAAAGGCATAACTTAAGATAGAGAAACCGTCAAAACATATAAAAGACAAATCATGCCATATGGTGGGTGAGAAAAGCTTCTTACTTGAGTAGAATCCTCTATGTGCTTCAGCTGTTCTAGTGTACAATGCTGCATAATCTGTTCAAGAAGCTGAAAATCAACCCCACCAACATATCCAATGTACTTAACATTATCAATCGCTTTCCTAACGCAAAGATCAACAAGCGAAGGTGGTTTCTTGGTAAGCCTCTCAAACAACATCGCAGCTTCTCAAACGGTTTTGGCAAAACCTATAACAAGAAAAAAAAAACACACTTTCAATATGAATCACAAGGAAACACCAGCTGACAATATCACTAATGAATAAAAATACAGAGTATACCAGTTTACAAGAAACTTCACAAGGACAAATTTTAAACTTTTCCTCAATAAATTATAATGTGAAATCGTCAGCTAGATAACACAGAAACCTGCTTTAATCATTCAATTACGTTCCTTTACACCAAAACAAATCCATCCATCAAAACTCAAAAGAAGGATGCATATCTTCAGAAATTGAGCTACAACTATCCAAATCCAAATTCAAAGGATTTGATATATGAATTGAGATGATCCAATCAATCAAAACCATAATTCGAATTTCACAATTGAATCAATCTATTTCCAAATCGAAAAAACAATAGATGCAGGGGATGAGTTTACCAATAAAATAAAATAGAGAGCTGAATCGAAGATTGGCCCAGGAAGGAGACGGATCCAAAGAATCTCTTCAACGATCGAAGAAACCCTTTTTCCTCTTCCCGGTAGAATGATGATAGCGGTAAGCAGACGCCGGAGTTTTCGAGTTTTGTTTTAATCATACCCACCACAACGACGATTGATGATTGATGAAATTGAAAACAATTTGGCCAACGCTATTCTTATAAACGCGCGTTTCAAAACCACGACTGTGGCTGCTTGTTAGTTAATTAATTTACAAATACGCGCCTGTCTGATCGCGCCTTCACCGGGTTACACGTGACGACGTCGTTTCATGTACAGTCAACATAAAACCGAATATTACAATAGGTTAACTCTAATACCGAATCATACGAAACCGAACAAAACAAATAAAATAAAAAATCAATTACATAAATAGATAGAAATGAAAAGATTTACTACTTACCAAAATTATTATTTTTTATATACCAATCGAATTTTATTTCGGTTGATTCGTTTTAGTTTGATAACATTTGGTTCGGTTCAGGTTTGGTTTGAATATGATCTGTTTCCAAAAACTGGAATCGAACCAAACCGGGAAAAAACAAATGGACAGAACACACTGAGCTTTAAAAGATTTGGGCAAACTCTGTTTCGATTCGACGGCAAAAAGGAATCATTTTTAATGGACGCATTGGGTAGTTGTGGCGGCGCTGGTGGTCTCTGGGGGTGGAATGGCTTCAATCAACGGAGAAAAAAGAAACCCTCCGGAGATAAAGGTAAGCGAAGGAATTCCGGATCCTCGGATTCCGTCGACGTGAGCAGAGACGCCGGCGGTTATCGGTTTCCTTTGAAGCAAGCTGTGACGGCCGGCGCACTCACTTTCACCGGTGACACGATAGCTCAGCTATCTGGGAGATGGAAAAAGAGAACCTCACTTAAACAATCATCTTCTGAGCTTGACGAGGTTCGTCTGACCAAGTTTTGGTGATTTTCCATAGATGGATTTGAATATTTAGAGGTTTTAGTGAATGTTTTGGTGACTATACATGAATCGAGTTTCTAGTGTGACTTAGTGATACCTTAAAAATAAAGTTTGGATCTTTGTATAACCAAATACGTTGGGGAGTATCAGAGTATGGTTGATTAGTGAGTAGTGACAGTCTCTTATTAAGTGATGTTTGATTTTGTGTACTTGTTGTTTGGGTAATTTATGTTTTCTTACAAAATGTTTGGTGGAAACTTGGATTGTGACTAAGGATTTATTATTGGATCTTTTTACTTAGGGGGAATTGTGGAATATTTTCTCAGAACATGACTGGATTCGTGCGTTGCGGATGAGTTCTTACGGGTTTCTCCTATATGGCCCAGGCTCTTATGCATGGTATCAATTCCTTGACCATTCTTTGCCGAAACCAACCGCAACAAATCTAGTGCTTAAGGTACCATTACCTTTTAGACTTGTTTTGTTAATTTGTACTTAGAGCGTGTTGTAATATAGTTCTGACTGCTTATACTGATCCCTTGTTAGGTTCTGCTAAACCAAGTAATCCTCGGTCCATCTGTGATTGCTGTTATATTTGCTTGGAACAACTTGTGGCTGGGAAAGCTTTCTGAGCTCGGAAACAAGTATCAGAAAGATGCTCTTCCAACACTTCTATATGGTGAGCTACCTATTACAAAGAGTTAAATTTTTACCATTACATAGCATTGTTCCGCTTATATATGTAGTCTCTTCTTGTGATTTCTACAGGATTTCGCTTCTGGGTTCCCGTTAGCATACTTAACTTTTGGTATGGCTCTTTTTCTCTGTTTTTATATCATTTGCATTTGGATGTCTTCATATTATGTATAATAGGATCAGTGGGGTACTTGGAATTAGCATTTTACATTGAGGTCTGATGAAAGGTGAAATTTACAGGGTCGTCCCGCTTCAAGCTCGTGTAGCGTTCATGTCCATGGGTTCTGTGTTTTGGAATTTTTACTTATCTTCAACTATGAGCAAGTAGATACATATATATTTGTATTCTTCAGCCTCGCAGAGCGAGTATATCATTCTGAAAATTTTCAATACCAACCAAAGTAAGTCAATCTCGCAGCTCTTTCTCTACCGTTTCAACTTCGGTTTCTAGTTTGTTTGATAGTAATCTGACAGCTCTTCATATGATCTGTCTTGAACTTACCTAGCAGGCCGACGTGGAACCTCGTCTAGAAGCAGTTTCAAAACTCTCTTAGGTTTCTAAGTTTTGTAAGTGAATGATAGGTTTCAGACTGTTAAATATATTTCTGTTTGTTGTTATACCTCTATCACATCTTACAATGAAGATTTTGTTTTTATAAAAAAAATAATAATAATATAGGCATTGCATATATATTTCATATTTGATTTATTTTTATCAGAAGATATACATCAATAAGCAAAACTACCGAATTTAATATATATCCATCTTAAAATTTTCTTTTTTAATTTGATCCTCCTCATTTTTGTTTATAACTACGGACGTCAAAGTAAAATTCTACACTACCTAAATGAATTGCATAACAATGGCAAACGTAGATAGTGACCTAGAAGAGCGTCTGCCCCTGAAAAAACGATTTTGTCGTCGTTACATACTAGAAGGTCAAGTCCATGTGGAGCCACAACAACAAGTAGAAGGGGAAGAGCCGCTCGAGAAGTTAAAGAACAAGATGATGGAGATGGGAGGCACGGAGGCGACAGTAATAATGGAAAAGCCATTGACTAAGACCGACGTGGATGAAGGTGATCAGTCTCGTTTATCCATTCCCATGAGTAAGCTCTTGAACAAGGATTTTGTGACTTCCGATGAAAAGACAAAGACCCATAAACGAAACAAAAGGGATGGAGAAGGAGGTTTAAGCGTGGAAGTGATCGACCTGAGGCTACAAGTAAGGGAGCTAAAGATGAGAGGATATTGCGATATGGAGAAGAAGAAGAAGACGAAGAATGGGGAATGAGGGAACATAAGCTCAAGGTCTTGAGGGAACATAAGCTCAAGGTCTCTGTTTGCGGTATAATAGTCTTAAGGAAGGTAATAACTTGCAGCTTTGATCCTTTTGGTCACAACAAAAGCTATGTCTTACCCTCGTCTTGCATTAAAATTAATTAGGGTTTCGAAACTTTACCATTATAATTCTAAAAAGCTTTGTGTTGTGTCTAAATTTGTTATCTTATAGCTGTGAGTGAGAATTTTAGTTCTTTAGGATCTTTTTCTTTTTCCTTTATATATCTCTAAGTTTTGTTATCTGATAACAGTTTGTTAAATATTTTAAAATTTATAACATATAATTCATAATTTTCTTAAACAATCGGGACAATGTCCTACATGGCTTGAATCGTACTCCGTCGTACTAATCCAACAATTAAAGGGTAATTTACTAATTTATTGTATTCAATATTTCTATGAATCATAATCGATTGTATGAAGTCAGAACCTTCGACTTAGGAAATATAAAGAAACTATGTTGGAATTTGACTTTGTTGGCCTTCAAACTGTTTGATTGTAAAAGACCAAACAAATCATAGAATAAAGAACACAACAATAATAATAAAAGTTTTAAATAAACACCATGGAAGGCTCTTCTGATTCTCACTCATTCCTAATTTCTTTAAGTATCGCACAATTTGTTTACTCTGAGACTCATGAAGGCATGATGGAACAAATTAAAATGATCTCCTCTAAAAAGAAACTGTATAATAATAAGTCAATCAAGACTGCTTTTAGGTACCACTAATTATATTAATCCCCGATAACCTGCAGGTTTGGTACTTGTTTTACTATTATATTTCTTTTTTTTGTGATCATGACCGGGAAATTAAAAACAAAATTCAAATTTGTATCCAATATATATAATACATGAAGAGATACCGAGTATTATGGACGCCTAGATTGACTAATGTGTTTTAACTATTTATATGCATATAGCTGATATTACAAATGAGAACGTATATGTGTAATAATATGTGTATACGTAAGACTAACCAACAACTCTTTTATTTTGTTTGGTTTCGTCTGGTTGAGATATAAATTCAAGGTGATGATGATAGAGAGGTTTGGTCACTTTTAGTATGAGATGGAAATGTCTTACCACATGTTAAATATGGAAAATAATTTGCTAATAATTATAAACGAGTTGCTATGCTAAGGGTATACAAACCCCACTCTTTTTCTCTTACGCTCCCTTCCGCGTCCACACACATCTAAAGATATTCGAACCTTCCAAGAGCCAAAATGAAATATTTATTTATATTTGTTTACGTTGTAAATATATATATATATATTTGAAAATCTTTGAATACATCATATACTTTACAGTGTACGCATCAAATGTAAATATATTATTTTATGAACAATTTGAAATTGTATAACGGGAAAGAAGAATTTAATTAATCAACCAAAAAAAAAAAAAAGAGAAAGATAATGCATGGTGTATTATGACTTTATGAGTCTTGACTGACCCATTTGAATTTGATTGCAATGTAAAGTAGTAGTAGTAGTATATATATAGTGTGTTTTAGTGTGTTGTGTAATAAACGGGTCCACACGTAATTATTCGGAAGCTAGGGGTTTTTAATACCTTTACCTACTAGCTAACACCATTTCTTCATCATTCACCATCTTCTCCAAAAAAACAGAGAGACAAATACAAATGGCTGGAGAGGATTTGTTGAGACTGTTCGAGCAAAACTGGTCAGAGAGACTAATCTTCAAGAAAGACAAAGAGAATCTGAATGGAGGAAGCCGATCAGGGATTCCAAAGAAGAAAGAAGCGGAAGAAGATGATATGAAAAATTCTTCGGTGAGCTTTCTTGTAGAGAGGGCTATGAGTGATGAGACGATGATGATGACGACAACAAGTTCCAAGACAAGTTTGTTTAGTTCTTCATCAGATGATCTGTTCTTGTCTCCTAGATCTGTCTTACCCGTTAAAGCAAACCCGATGAAGCTTCAGACGATTCTCTCCGGGAAAGCAGTGAACGAGTTTACGATTGCGGAAAGGGAAAGAGCACTAATTACAAAGAAGGAAGATCTGCAGAGGAAGAACAGTAATAAGATGATGAAGAGAAATGTGAGGAGAAGAAAGGGAAAGAGTATGTCAGATTTGGAGTACGAGGAGCTTAAAGGGTTTATGGATCTAGGTTTTGTCTTTTCCGAGGAAGACCACAAAGACTCCGATCTGGTTTCGATTCTTCCTGGATTACAGAGATCATTACTGAAGAAAGATGATGGAGTTGCGCAAGCAGTAACAGAAGAAGAAGAAGATATGAGCAATGGAAACAGAGTAGCGAGACCGTATTTGTCGGAAGCGTGGGATCATTGTGGAGGAAGAAAAGGAAAAAAACAATTAAAGCCGGAGATAAAGTGGAGAGTTCCGGCGCCGGCAGCTAACGAAGTTGACTTAAAAGATAATCTAAGGCTTTGGGCTCATGCCGTGGCCTCGACTATTCGATGATAACACACAAAATTAAAGAAACATAGTTTTGGGATTCTGAAAAAAGAAGGGCATGCCAACTTTTTTCTGTATCAATAGTTTTTGATCATTCTGGTTTTCAAATTCATGTGAAATAAAAAGAAGAAAAAGTATGATGAGGTTCGATCTCTAACATGACCATATTGAACAAGAGAACAAATCCAATAATGCTCAACACTTGTCATACGAGAGAATCTATGATGAGGTTTTTTAGTGGCGGGCCAATCATATCCAATAATGCTCAACACTTGTCATATGGAATTTTTTGCCACGTTACTATCAACAGAAATTTTTCACACAATTAATTGTCGTGCCTATAAATCACGTTGATCAACTATCGTATTAATTAATTAGTGTACTACTTTATCTAGGCACTGGAAAATTATATACAAACAGTAGTAATTGATAAACTAACATGATACTCGACTTATTGTTTTGGACATGCATGACTAACCATTTTTAAAAAATGTTAGATAAGGTGACATTGATCTTAAAATCAAAATATTGGTGGAATTTAGAGTTTTGTGCGATTCGATTTTAACAAGTAGTTCCAAAGACCACAACACTTGCATGGATGTGATATATGCCGGATCAGTATAGTGAGAACAGTTGTACGTACTCGTTCAAGCCCTTAGCTTTGGTTTTCATACTTTCTTAATTAGGTCAATTTAAAAGCGTTGCACATGTCCAACACTGAGCTAGTAGCAATAACAACAACCAACTGATTAATTAGCAAGTACTTAAAAAAAAAATACAAGTATATATTTTAGACTCAATAAATTGTTTTAAAAAATAACCTTAAAACTCAAAAGTTGCTGAGATCAGGCGGCGTGTAGATGTTTGGCCAAATCGTTATACTCTCCATCCTAATTCTCTTGGGTGATCTCTCCATGCGGCTGTAACCTTGCGAGTTCTATATTGCGTAAGCGTAAATATTCCTTTTTATTAGTTTCACACCAAACCAACCAATCCAATATTACTAAATACATGAGTATATAGATGCAGACAAAGCACATGACTAAGTTGATAATATAGCTCGCAGTATCTACTATATCATCCCGCGGTGAGTCGAACATTGCAGAAGTAGATGAAAACGCAGGTGCTTGCAGCTTGCTATTCGTTGAATAACTAAAAAACAATTGTAAGACGACTTGTATATATATTTCTACGTACGTACGAAATCTAATTCGATCCATATTAGGTCATTAAAAAACAAATAAAGTTTAGGCATATAACATTTATCTAATCTAGATTTTTAATGAATATTCTCTGAAACTAAATAAATCTCGATTTTTGTAAAGATAATGAAGAATAACATAAATCTCATAAAGTCATAATATATGTAAAACTAAAAAGAATTTAGGCATGGCACTTATCCGTTACATCTCCTAATTAAAAATATATCTGTATATATAATTAAATATATAGAAAATATAGTTAAGGAACCTTTGGTAGCTAGGTTAACATAAATAGATGATGAAGAATAACATAAATATCATAATATATGTAAAACTAAAAAGAGTTTAGGCATGGAACTTATCCATTACATCTCCTAATTAATTAATATCTATATATATAATTAAATATATAGAAAATATAGTTAAGGAACCTTTGGTGGCTAGGTTAACAGCTCTTATATGTGTCGTTAAGTTATAAACAAAGTCTTTCGCAATTACGCATAATATTCATATTCAACAAGAATTGTTTGGACGTCGAGTTTTTGGCCCTAGCTAGATAAGGCGATCGATGGATACATCACGATATGAAGAAACTGTAAAAGTGTTGTTTTGGGTAATGATGGTGCTGTCCGTCATTGTTATCGTTTTCGGCGCTTCTCTTACTCGTAAAGTTTGGACGGCGATGTGGTAGTGCTTGTGACATAGATTATGCAACCCATGAATTAATCTATGTTTTGATGGACGATCAACACAGTCAGTTTGCGTACCAATTATTAAATTAATAGAGTCTAGAATTATTAATTAGGGAATTTCGTTATGTACCTTTTAGTCTTTTAAGTTTAATTTTTTTTTTTTAATGTTGTTTACTCAATGATAATTATCATCATGAGACACTTATCTTAAGAATTTATTGTCCTTTTTTTATATAATAAAAAAGTCAGACTAGAAATTACTCCGTTATTGTATATAAATATATTTGACAATGAATCAAAATCAAAGTTTTCTAACTGATTACAACGACAGCAAGCAAATATTGAAAATCACAAATAAAATTGTTCCTTGGGACACTTTGTCGATCGATTGACGACCATGGATGATGATGCGTTAGGATATATGTATTACATGGTCGGATTCACATTCTCTTCCTTTATTTTATGTGGAATCATGGGAATTTATACGTTTCGTCTCTGGCTATCTCTGGTCGCCGACAACGAAGGATCCAACCTCATCAATCGAGATTGAATACCACACATATGGTTTTTTTGTTTTTTTGTTAATTATGGGATTTAGTTTATTTTCATCTTTTATTTGCTACGAGGTTTAATTTAATTTGTTTTGTATTTTTTTTTCCTTCTTTTTCTTATATGATAATTATAAATTGATCTGATCATGTCATCGTCGAATTGATTCCTTAGTTTAGTTATGTTTTGTTTTGCTTTGTTTATCTTTTGTAATTTTATGGTTGCGTTATACTTTTTACAGATCAGTATTCACTTAAAAAAGAAACCTTAGCGATTGGAATATAACAAAAACCCTAATTAATCATGAAGGAATTATAACCTTGAAGCAAGCGTACGTAAGGCATAATTAATTGACATTAACTGAAGAAAATACGCAATTGTTCACCCACAAAAACACTTAAAACTGAACAAAACAAAAGAAAGAGGAGCAAAACTTGTTTGATAATAATTTAAATACCAAACTAAGACAGTTGAAAAAAGATGTCTGCTATATATAAAGATGCCTAAGGAGGATATATAACTCGATCCAACTTCTTCTAGGACGTGGTAGATCGTAACCGTGATCCTCTAATATATTGCACGTATAAGTCGTTGTCGTGTTTACTATAAGTCTTGGCGTATCGGATTAGAAAGAAGCAGCCGAAGATGGAGATAAAGATGAGTACGAGTAAGAATATCATCACCGAAAACACAAATATCAGTCTTATGTCGATCCATTCAAGTGACCCCTTTGCTGGATACTCCATCGACGTTGATTACTGTAATTGCTGTTACGATCAGCCCTGTGTATCAATATATCGAGTATATATATATATATGTTTGATTGGATCAAACCAGAGATAATCTAAACTATATTTCCTTATATTCCTTCATTATCTATTTATTTACTAAATAATTTAGTATAATTATAATGGTGATTACTAGATTACGCATGCATGGGTTTTTGGCACGTCACTATAACACAAGAATTGTGCATAATACATAAAACTGAACACGTTAATTAAATACACTTGTTTTTTCTTCCTATACAAACAAGTCTATGAAATGATTACATATATATAAGATCTAGTAAGAAACCTACTTTACCTATATATCCAACTATAAGCGTCTTATGTATATCGATTTCAATTGTCTCCTTTGGAAGCAGAGTCAGGGAGTTTGAATGTGGGACGCTTATCCACGCCTCTTCTTGAGTATTCTCTCCATCTTCTGGCTGCCGCGGCCGCTCGTTGTGCTCGTTCTTGTACTTCTTCCTCTGTCACATACAACGAAATGAGTAAATATGTTTGTTATGACCATTAGCCAAAGAGGAAGAGAGCTTATTATCATCAAGCTTACCGCTTTTCTGGTAATTATTCTCTTTGCCCCAGAGGTTATCCCAATAGGAAGGTGTTTCATCTATGTTTTTCCGCTTCATCATTCTACTTCTAGCTTGATTCTGAAACATAAGTAAGCAAGACGTAATGTTATGTTCATCTATAACATTGCAAAATAGTTTTGCAAGGATTTCTAAGGCGATGACAGTTCATACCAAAACTTTAGCTTGCCTCTTTTCCCATCTAGATCTCGCCTGAAATGGGATTTAAAGATTGATCAGTTAGATGCAAGATAAAGAAGAATGGACTATCTTGTTTTGAAAAGGAAGACAAACATAGGCCAAAGTCAATTTGTAAGTCGGAATAAAAAGACTAAGAACATTTTAGCTACCAACCAAGCAGTTTTCTTTCCTTCTTACCATTCTAAAAACATCGACTGCCCCTGATCCCATTCCAGAAAGCATCAGAGCAACCTGATCAATCAATGACAATTCCAAGAGCTTAAATGCAGCAGTTTAGCATCAAAGATACAATCAGAAACTTCAGCAATCCCTTGTGGTTCTTTTAATGAACAATAAGATAGCTACCAGCTTACATTAACTCTTTCAACCCTTCGCATCTCATCTTCAAGCAATGACAACTGTGCAGCAGAAGTCTGATGGATACAATCAACCGGGCTGAAAAGAAAAAAAAGCATCTCCTAATTAGTTCCCTGAAATTACCCACCACAACAGGAGTATTATTACTCCATAGTCAGTTGCAGCATCTACAGAATCTAAACCTACCATGTCTCAACCGCCTGCTGAATTAAATCTGGGTTGCCACGCTGGTTACAGGCCCTTGCTCTTCCAAAGTCTTCCTCAATTTCAAATATATCTGGAGCCACGTTGGCACAATTTTTGCAGCCTGTTAAACAACAAACACAGATGTAGTCACTTTCTAGATCATCAGAGTCAGTACCAATAATTTCACCTCGGCGGCTCGGCCAAAAGACTTGCATAATTAAACGAAATTCAAGAAATAATATACCTATACAAGCAAACTCATCAACAAAAACATGATCCCTTGGGGTAGAGTCATCAAGAAAAGGATTGGTGGCAGTCACTGCATAACCATGAATTTCATCATAAACCATACGCTGTACAGGGTCACTGAGAATCTGCAATGCAACGGGCAAGCGGTAAACGCAAAGCACATGGACCTTTACTAAAAACGCTTACAAAGGGTAAATGGAAGTCAAGTAAAAAACTCACACCTCATAGATATCGTTTATAAACATGCAGAAGTTTGTGGTTTCTGGGTCATTGCCACTCAAGTCTGGATGGCAAGATTTCATACAGTTATAGTAAGCTTTCTTAATCTCCTCCGGTGTAGCATCTGGAAGCTATTGATTGACAAAGCAAAGGAGAGTGATTAAAGGCACAATCTTTGGAACTCAATGATTGTAATCCCTCTAAGGCTTCACGATCTCGAAAATGATGAATCTAGCTACAACTACTTGTTATACTGATGTACTTCAAATGAAATATGCAGAGTGTTTTTGCATGATACACAAAAAAAAAAAAATGGAGTTTTTAAAAATTGGGAAACAAATCAAATCAGATTGGAATAAGAAATGAATCTTACCAGACCGAGAACGGCATAGTAATCATCGGCGACATCACCGGTGGAAAGAGAAGAAGCATCCTCAGTAGCAACCCTCAACCTCCCGATGGAACCACTTCGCCTCTTTCCAGCGAACCGAGGTAAGCCCCAAGACGAAGAAGCACCGGTGGTCTTCGGCGAGAACCGGGAGGCACCTGATCTGGAGCTACGAACTGAGTTCTGGAACTTCAGAAGATCCGTACAAACAGGGGAAAGTATCTGCGCCATTGAAGAAGAGCCTCAACAAGGTCCTGTACAATCCGATCAGATCCGACCCGATCACTACTTACTCCCTTATGAGAGAATTGAGAAGGATACAAAAAAATCTCGTTGATAAATTTCCTATTTCATTCGATTTATTTTTTGAAATAAATTATTTTATTTATTTTTTATGAAAAAATTTAAGGCGTACGAGGGTCTAATGCTGATGTGGCAAGATAAGAACCACGGAAGCTTATTTGGAATCTGAGATGAATCTAGCGGCGACCGGCGAAAGCGTGCTTAGCCGACCGTGGCACGTGTCAGCTTCTGGGCTTATGTGTCTCTTCACGCTTTTACTACCCGCCAAAAGTTTTATATCTTTGATTATTATCTTCTCACACGAAATTAGATCACTTTAAATAGCCAAACAATTAAATTCAAAACCCACCAATAAGAAATTTTTGTTTTCGTTACCTGTAATTTTATAGATAGATAAGTAATAACTTGGCAAACTAAAATCATTAAATCAATACGTATTAATGTATTATATATTCCAATTGATATGGGTCGTACTTATATATAAGGATTGAAACAAAACCACCATGGAAATGAGGAATCTTGTTTTCTTGTAGTGAAGATCCTAGACTCATCCCTAGTCATGGTTTTAACAGAAAAATAAAAACAAATGATCGAAGTGATGTGATGTAACATGAACACTGTCATAATATATATTATGTGTGTTTAAGTTTTGTACCTAACTACTAACTAATATGGTCGAAGCTTTATTATTTACGAATTTGAAACATATAGTGATGTGTTATGAAATAGTATTTGTATCAATTGCAGACAGTTTTCCACATATATAAACTTTTGTTTTCTCGTCTAATTCTCTCGTGATGAAACGTTTTCTTGTGCAATTCTTCATGGAGGCAAGATATGGACAAGAGATATCACATATGTATTATTATCCATGGGCACACTCTTTTTATCATTTTAAATATATTAAAGATGATATAATTAAGGAGTTAAGCTTCTAATAATAAACCAGAGGTGGTGGGCTAGTGGTTCTAGTCTGGTGGAAGAGTCGCTATGTTGGTTTAGGCCAGGGATCGATTCTTCCCAGACGCAGAATTGCTAGCTTTATCCCTTTGGCCACATGGGTATGGGCCTCTTGTTTAAGGCCCATTTAAAAAACTGGGGGGACCCTACCCGTGGGATACCCTCTCCCCAGAGATTAATCTCGGATACTTCTAATAATATACATAATTCGTCGTAGCCTCATATTATTGGATAACTTTACACTGAATTTAATAAACAAAAAAACAATGTACGATGTCAAAAAAAAATAAAAATAAACAATGATACATGGCTTTTATTCGGTATCCTCAGATATATTATTTATAGGATTTGCTGAATATTTTATTTTGTAAATACGTTGGTTGATGTAAAAAGTCGCCACTGTTAAATTACCACGCAAAGAAAAATGGAAATTCTTGAGGAACTCCAAAAAGAAAAAGGAAATTTCAAGCAGACTTGGATAGCAAGTAAAGCAGTATCGAAACTAATTAACATATCCTACCTGGTATTGGATTAGAGTCTAACGCGCTCACTCTCTATATAAACACATCAGAGATCCATTCTAACAATTCCCAGAGTCTCTCCTCTTTCATCTCTGCTTCAGAACCCTAGCTAGCTAACTGAATCGAGAGGAAGAGAGAGCAAGCGAAGCAAACACACATATTAACAAGACCGATCAAGAACGAGAGAACGATGCATAAACAAGAGTTCTTGGAGTTGTACGAGGCAGCACTTCGAGCGGCTAAGTCTGTGAGAGATGTTAACAATTCTCCAGAGGTTTCGAGGTTTGTGGACGCCATGAAACGTTTGAAACAAGCTCCTAAGTCCCTTGCTTGCGACGTGGTCTGCACAAACTCCGTGGGCAAAGGTTTGAGATTCTTCAACGATCACAAAAACCCCCATATTCGAAAGGAAGGAAGGCTTCTTTGGAATCTTTGGCTGCAGATTCTTTACGCTTCGGGTAGAGAACAAACCCGTGATGGAGCAGCTCCGGTCAAGACTCCCACGGATTCAACAATGAAGAGGACTGGAGATCCAAAGCGAGACAAAGTGCGTGAGATTCTTCAAACATCGTTGGCTAAAGTTGCTTCTGAGGTTTTTGAGACGGAGATGAAGATAAGAGTCACCGCTTGTGATCCTTGGGTTGTGGCTGTATCTGTGGAATCTGCAATGTTTGAGAAATTAGGCTGGTTCATGGGACCTCAAAAAGCTAAGTACCGTTCTATTCTCTTCAACATGGGAGATACCAACAATCCAGATTTGAGGAGGAAAGTGTTAATTGGAGAGATCAGTGGAGTGAGACTCGTGACAATGGAGAGACAAGAGCTGGGGAGTGACAAGGTTCAGAAGGAGATCCAAAGGATTAAAGACAGGGCAAGATTGAAGGAAGAAAGCCGAATTAAGGTGCTTCAGTCAGCTGATCTGATCATGACTTAGAAGAGATTTTGTCAGTTTGACTATTGTATAGAATCAGTATTCTTTTTCAGAACAAAATTATTGTCATATTGTTTCATTGTGATTATTTCAATATGATGATTGGTTCAAGTTCATGAATATTTCTAAATCTGTGTTTTAAAGACTATTGGCAAGAAAAGGAAGGTTCCATAAAAGTAGACTGGCAATAATTTATCTCATGTTTGCTGGCTAAGGTTTTCTCATAAACTAAAAATACAACGACTTCATTCAAAGGACTTTGAACAACCAAAAGTACTACTCAATAGTCTTCAGTTTTTTTTTTCTGAGTTATATTATGGCTTGGATCTTGCAGTTTGATGAAGCTCTTGGTAGCTTCATAAGATATTGTATATCGATGGGCACTTGGATGTTGTTCACTGGACGAATTTCCACCAGCTCAAGACATGGTAACTTGTTTAGGAAATGCCTCACTTGGTTCAGCTCTCTCATAGTTCCTTGATAGCCCCATATCTCCAGCCTCTTCACTCGAGATGATGACAGGCAAGAAGCTCTGCTTACCCAAGAGCCAGAGCAAACACATGCATCCCCACATTTTGTAGTCATGTAGTGCTCTACACCCTGAAGCATAAAGGAGACAAAGTTATAGTCAAATAGGTGTATATGGGGTTTAGGATGGGCTTGTTTATGTCATGAGATACCTTGAAGATGAGAGTTTCAAGATTTGGAGAGTTTTTTAACAGAAGTGGCAGAATTTGCCATCCTTGCTTCTTGTCACTCGTGATAGATAGACAAATTAGGTTGTCAAACATTGGTAAATCTTGACCGGAGAAGTAAAACAGCTGCAACAATACCGAACCAGCTGGTCATCACTCAAGTAATACAATATTTAGAACTTCAATAAGCGAATCCAACTTTCCATCAAAAGACTGTAACATGCCAAAGATCTTACTACCACGGCAGGACTTGGTGAAGATACAGAATCTAACCAATCTTGGTTTATCCTTTTCGTTTATTTTATTGAGCAGCAAATGTTTGTTAGGACAATAAAAAAGAATAGTAAACTGACCTCAAGAGCATCACTAGTTAAGTGAAGGACCTTGACATTTCTTATTGCAGTGATGAGATCCATCATGTCAGCAGAAACTAAATGAGCAGCTCCATGTCTTAGTTCCCGTAATCGTTGTTCTTCTACCCAAAGATTGAGTCTAGCTTCAACGAGGGATTCCAAGTTAACATTTGCATACTTGCTCCCAAATATACACGAAAGTTCCAAGTAGACAAGATTGGGAACATCAAGAGAGATAATAGGGATATTAAAGAATCTGATGCGTAGTCTCTTTAGTAATGGAGAAGACAGAGATCCACACCATTGTTTCCATCGCTGATCCTCAAGAACCAGTTCTTCAAGCACAGGGCAATGAGAAAGAAGAGTTTCAAAGACATCATGACCTCCATCAAAGTCAACCGTATCAAGACATAAACTCTTAAGCAAAGGAAGATCAACATCCTGTTGAGAAAGCTTGAGTGTAAAACCACGTCCTAGTCTCAGCTTAACCAGTGTCTTGCTCTTGAAGATCAACAAAGGCACAAGTTGAAGTTTTCCTCTGAAAGTGATGAACAGATCAAGATCCACAAGACCACCACGCTCAAGGGCATTGCATATCCAGCTATGAACACGAGATGGGTCTATCCCAAATTGATTAAGGAGATGAATCTTTAGAGCGAGCTTCTTTATAGGCGACTTGCCTCGCAGATTGAGCAAACTCTCCACAAAATCCATGAAATCTCTGGGCTTGTCACGCTGGTACTGACTAGCCTCAAGCGCATAATCAAGGTCAAGACTGGGAACAAAAACAAACACATCCCTCCACCTCTGAGAGAGTAATGAAGTTGAAGCAGCCTGTTTTGAGGGGAGAAAGGACAAAATGTGCCCGAGAACCTCATCCGGTAAAAGACTGATCTTATCCATCACCACTCGGAAAACCCTAAACACACAGAATCAACAAAGCACGAAATTTCAACAGCTACAATCAGAAACAGCAGCCACAGAGTTTATCAGTTTCAAAGTTCCGGTTTTTTTCCTTCTTTTCCATCCATTGTATCGTCTCTGTCCTCAATCCAAAGAGAGACAGTGATCAAGCCATCGATACCCAAAGAGAAGACCTACCTTTCTAATCGCAATAGAGGCGGCGGCTAGTTTCACGAAAGCTCTCAAAATTCAATCCCAATTTAGGGTTTTGGCAATCCGGGACGTCGAATATGTTCAAAACTTAAAATGATGCAGGCGACGAAAGAGTCGTACCAACCCATTTTATCAAAAAGACGCGGCGAGTCGTATGACTTTACTAAAACGACGCCGCTTTTTAATAAAGTAAACTAAAACCACTCGTATAGGCCTGGGCTTCTTTTTTTACATTGTGACCCTAGAAATCAGAAATTTGTCATTTTCGTTATAGATCGTTGAATTTATCTGTCTTGAACAACTTGATTTGACAATATATTTATCTCAAATCACGATATCTGATTTGGCTTAATGATATTAGAGGAGAATTGAATTACTTAAAAACAATTTTTATTGGGAGATTGCTGTGAAGTTGTAATGGGAAAAAAACCAAGGACAAAATTTGTGATGTCTTCTTATTCAGTCGAATGGCCTTTTTTTTAAGGGAAGTGGATGATATGTTCTCAGACAACAAGAACAAAAGAGTATATAAAAAGACAAGCTAATTCGATCAATTGAGCAATAAACTAACCTAAGAAACAACAAATCATAATGTTTCAAAGATTCAGCATTTGGAAACACTTATAAAACTTTTCCCTGATAGTTAAGATTTATCTTTTGGAGTCTCTCACTTGAGCTGCAATTTGGTATGGAGATCCGCTGCTCTAGACAACGACTGTATCGATACCGGATAACCCTTTCCCATCTGCAAAAGCAAGTCTTAGGTTAAATGTATTTCAAACATGTTTCTAAAAGGAGACGTTGGGTTTGATTTATAAGCTTACCGTACTGCATAAGTGGAATGCATTCACATAACCAGCATATTTTGAAGCTGCAGAGAAAAAAAGTTAAGAACAAGTACTCAAATTAGCCAAACAATCATCTCTCATTCAAAGTTATAAGTTCCCAGTACGATGACTTACTCTTTTTCAATCCGGCTGGTTTTGCTAGCAAAAGGGCGTTCATAAACGCTCCAACATTCTCTCGTAAAGCCTCTTCAGGAAAGCTCATCTGGTTTTCAGGAAAGTGTTCTTTGTTAAGAATACAGCTAAGATAAATTTGAAGTCTTTGGGAATAGATGTCACCTTTCCAAGTGGCACATGAAGAATAGAAGTTTTATCCATTCTAAATTTGGTATGTCCAGCTTTTGCGTCTTTGACTGCTTTAGTAACATCCTTGGTCACACTACCTTGCTACAACAAATATAACATTCGTTTAAATTCATTTAAGGGCAAGAGAGCATACTATTACTGACTAATACATTACATTAGGATGCTGAGTGAAAGAATCAAACTCACTTTGGGGTTTGGCATCAAACCATGATTGTTAAGAATCCTTGATATCTGCAAATAAGCACAAACCATATGTATGTTATGTGAGAAGATATCGCCTCCATCATGTTCCAAAGAATTTTGAATAGGCGCTCAAATCCAAGAACCTTGTAAACACGGGGCATCATTTTAGGAGTTGCAAGACATCTATCAAAGTCAATCTTGCCGCTTTCTGCAGATAGAGGTAAGTACAGATAAATAATCTACCATTGCAACACAATTCAACAAAACAAAAAGTTTGTCTCAAGAAATGAGATAAGTTATGACAGAGCCAAATGCAAGCATGTCCAATTATATGTAAGAAGTGAATTATCAGAGGAAGCTGAAGTAAAATGCATTGGTTCATTACTCAAGATTTCTTCAATAAGCTCAAGGCCACCAACGACATCAGCTCCTGCAGCTTTTGCATCCTCTGCATCAGCTCCCTCAGCAAAGAAAGCCACTTTCACATCCTGAACAAGGAAGATCATTTCTTGTATTATATTAGTGGCTGGTAAATAGAAATTCCCATCATGGATTAGAAAGACATTTCTTTTACCTTCTTAACAGAGTGGGGTAGGGCCAAAGTACCACGAACTATCTGCAGTTTAAACAGTGATAGCAGTCAGTCTAGAAATAAAGCGAGGGAGAACAATTGGTTTGCAGAATAAATGATTCGGGGTAATCAATCAAAATGCGATGTCTGATTAGGAATATGCTAGAGAAAAATGTTATCTCCAGAGAAAAGAAAAGCATCAAATACCAGCTCAGATCTGCCTTTTTCAATGCCCAACCTCACGTGAGCCTCAAGAGTTTCATCAAATTTCGCCTTGGCACTGGCCTGAACCATTAATTAAAACAGCATCAGAACGGAAGAATATAAGCGACACACAAATTAACGAGTCCACATCCACTGTAAAGCATCGCTCTGTCCTCCCTCACTCTAGTTGAAAATCAACACAGCAACAACTATTACCATTTACCAGTTTACAGAGTCCACAACTCTCACAGTACTACTATTAGACCAAACTTGCATGATCTCTTACTCGTATGAAGTTCCCTACGTAAGAATTTAGCACCCTCTAAACAACACCACAGCTTGTACCAAAGCTTTTAAGCCTTCTTTGAGACGTCCTATGTTCACATTATATAGTCAAATAATCCCAATTATCGTAGCCTCCTTTAAAAATAATCCTTTGACACAAAAAGTTCATGGAACCTAAATGGTGTACCTTCCATTCTATTTACAATGGCAGCTAAGTTAAGAGATCAATCATGTGGGTAAATAAGTACTGACCTTAATCTCTCGAATGGCCTCCATGAGATCGAAAATAGGTTTCTTTCCATGCTTCAACTCTGGTTTAAGCAAAGTCGGCAAAGGAAGTGAAGAAGTATCCTCTTCCACAGCATTAGCTCTTAAGAACCTTCTTCTAGCTCGGTTCTCTAATTCAATCCTTCTCCTCTCCCTCTCCATCTCCTCCGGAGTTCTCTCTCCTTCATCCTCACCCGCGACACGATCCTCAGGAAGCGGAGCCACGCGCTGAGCGTAAGAAACCGGATTGATCGAAGGAGAGTCTTTCACATATCTGATTTCTTCTCTTGTCCAGCTCGAGCGATCTCCCTGGTTCGCTGATTCAGAGGGATGAGGATTCTCCGTGGATTCAACATTGGCTGGTTCAGATTTCTGAGTTTTGGGTTTGGCGGCGTACGATACTGGCTCGATTGTAACAGGCTTCTTGCGAGATTCGTTCGAATCGGGTGAAGGATTTGAATCGGATGGTGGAGAGGAAGAGAAGAGTCTTGGGATTTGTTGAAATGGAGACGAAAAGGGTTTTGTTAGACCTTGGCGGCGAGATTGAGAGAGTAGAAGCTTCATAGCTGCCATTGTTCTCACTTCCTTCACTCACTCGAGGTTTTTCGTGTGAAATGTGATTTTGGGGGTTTAAGAGAATTTTTAATTTTTTAACTTTAAAGCTTCTTCTCTAAATGTTACAGAGCTTGAGGGACCAATTATGTAAATAATTTGGGGACAGAACCGCTCTTATTCACAATAAATACCCAATTCTCTTGTTTTCTCTCGAAAATGGAACTATATTTTGTAAATTTAACATTCGCTCATATAAATGGTTTATTTCTCTTTCTTTCTAATACATAGGCTTACAAGCTAATAACAGAGGTTATGAGAGTGAGGTATTGTGAAGGAGATCAAAAATGGCTGAACTGTCCCACCAATAAGTCGAACATGTCGTCAGGAGTTAGAAGTGTCGTTCCTCCAATAACCAGGTTAATGTCTGGTCTTCCGCTCTCTGACACAGCCTCTTGAGCTTCGAAAACCTTTGACAATGGAGGAAACAGTTATCAAAGATAGGCTTAAGACAGGTGGATGTGATTTTTGTGGTGAAGAAACTAACCTCTCGACCATTGATTCCTCCAATGACAAAGACAAGAATAACACTCTGGTCTGCAAGACTTGGTTTTGCCTGCAATAGTAATACCGACATCAGTGTCTATCTTGTGGAGGATGAGGGAAAGATGAAAGTAATAGGTAGAGAAAAAGGTCTAACAAACCTGACCAAGACCAAACCTTCCAAACCCACTTTTAAGAAACCTTCCGACAGTAGAAGAATGGTATTCTAAACCAGGTATCTCTTGTTTGCTCAACACTTTTGCTATAAGCCTGTAGAGTAGCCCTTTGTTTCCAGAAGGATCGCCAGGAAAGCTGCTTTCTGAAGCCAATGAGCCTTCCCTTAGTGGTAGATTCCTTGTTCTTAGACTCGATAACTTGTGGAGAAACCTAAATAAGCTGTCTACTCTATCACGCAAATCCAGCTTCAGCTGCATATCGTCATAGGACTCCTCTGCTTTACTATTTTCAACTTCTTCGTCTTCCTCGTCACCCCATTTTCCCCATGGATCATCATCAAGAGCATCAATGTCTAATTGATCATCAGAGGGACTTTCTTTGGTTTCCTCGGTCTTGAGACGATTCAATCTGCCCTCAAGTTCTTCTGTCAACCCATTAAGAAACTTGAGATTTCCAACTGATGGATTCTCTAGAGCAGCATCGACAATGGCTTCTTTTAGAAAATGCTCTTCTTGCCAAGAGAAAGGCCCACCAGAGCCAGAGGTAGGGAAATTCTCACCAGCAAGAATGTAACCAACAATTGTAAGGAGCAGGGCATCACGGAAAGATAGCAGTCCTCGTGACAAGGTATCTGGTTTCTCATTTTTCTTAGCTTGAAGTTCTGCCACAGCGCTTTTGTTGATCAGGTCACTAATTTGAGCAGCCAAACCCTGACTCGTATCACCAGCACTTACATTTAACATCATCTCCGCACTGCTAAAAGTATCCCATTTGGCACTTTGAGATTCATCAAGAGCAGCGGCTGTAGCTGCCGCTAACTGAATTATCCCTTTGTTTTTCAACAAAGACGACTGGCTTTGGGACAATGCTCTGATCATGGCCTGGAGCTCCGGTTTTGTGGCATAACCAGGACGAGCTCTCACGTTAACAGAGATATTTTCGCGACGCAGAGTCTCTTGAAGCCATTTCTTCACCAGTACACTTCCATCCTTTGTTTTCCTATCAATCATGGCCTCTAAGTAAGGTGTTCCTCTAAAACATTCAGTAGCGACAAGAGATCCATTTAATAGTTCATTCCAGCTGGCAGTAGATTTCTTGTCACATTCATTAAGCAGGCCAACATTTTGTGGATCAGAAGTGTATGAATCCCAGCCACGTAAAAATGCTTCAACTCCTTCAGGAAGACCAGAATCCCGAATCTTGCTTGGTTCTTCATTAAGCAGTTCCCCAAGCGGCACTTGAACATCAAGAGAAGGACGATTGATGCTTTGAACCCCCTGTTTAAGCTGTGCTTGTGAAGAAAACCTTTCTGCCCGAGGCAAAGATGAAAAGATACGATCGAATAGTGAATCTCCGTGACAGCAGGGAGTGATAAGATCAAGTGTGCGGTCAACAAGTAACAAGCCAGCAGATCGCTTACGACGCCCTACATCATAAAGACTTGACATATTGTCTGTCAGAATCTTCCCAACATTCTTTGATAGGTCACCAAGAGAAAATATTTCCAACTTCAACTCCAGCTACAATTTTTCAAAACAACGATATGGTCACAAACTTCAGAAACGGTACAGAAGAAGTTAAATTAATGACAAACAAGCGAACACACATATCTTCTTGTGTTCTAGCTCACGTTCTTCATGAACATCAGGAGTAAGTTCAAAACGATTTTTGCATTGTTAATTTACCTTAAGAGCCAGTTGGTAAAGAAAATGTGCCGTAAGAGTTGCACCAGGAGGAACATCATCAGTATCAGACATAGATCCAGTACTTACGGGAGGCAAACCAAAACTAAGAGAATCTTCATGTTGACGGGACAAGGACGCTTCTGCCACTGATCCTTGGGAAGGTAAGACAAACGCTCGAGGAGTGAAAGGACAAATAATCAAGGGGAAGTGGTGCACTGCGACTACCAAACCTTCTACACCACCTGATGAACTATCTATATTTTCACTTATGATGGGCTCCAGAGTAAGGGATTCAAGTGCGGAAGAGAACTTAGAAACCCCTTTGTCTTTAGATATTTTGTCGCTTTTCTTAGTATGTTCATTGTAATCCTGAACAAGTAAGGTTTCGTATTCTCGATACGCGTCTGGACCTAGAGGTGAATCAGGGATGGCTGAGTGAGATCCCTGTACAAAATACAAGTTAATAAAGTAATCAAATGACATATCTTCAGTGATGCAAAAAAACAAACACCTATTCCGAAGATTCTTATATATGGAAAATTAATTTGAAGTAAAGGGATGATAAGTCAGACATAAGACGCAATAGTGCTGATAAGTCAATAACTTATGATTGTATCATTAAGTATATAATAACGCAAATGTGAATGTCACTTTCATCAGGTTAAAGAGAAATATGACCAAAGATAGTGTTTATGATAAGCACCTCTGAAATAGACGTGAATACTGTGCAGTGCTGAACAGCTTCATGGGTGCTTAGACACCGTAGCATATATCGATGAGCATCATTGAGAAGCCGAGATGTCATAATCACAATTCTCTTTGCACAATCAGTCTTTGAATTCCAATCAGCCACCTAGAGCACAATGCATCAAAAGTCACATTAAAAAATCTGAAGACAATCTAAGTGGTGCCTAACCCTTTCAAACTCGAATGCCAAGATCACATACAGTAGTATCAGTAAAATCAAAGAAAACAGAATTCAATACTCCCATTGAGAGTTGATAACAAGCAGAAGAATGCAGCATGCATAAAAATCTTTCCCATTCTCTATCTAGATCCTCAATGATCAACAATAACTATTGATCCCATCTTCCTTAGTCAGCATTCTGAACACACAAAATGAAACCGTAACGAGCTTACCGCATCTAGAGAAGTCATATTTTCAAGGCTGCAGACTGCTCGAGCACCTAGTTCCAAGAACAAAGGGAAAGCTCCTGCAAACTGAAAACTTTCAGTGCAGCCAGCATCAATATACACAATAGCATCTTTTACTTCCTCTTCTATCTGCAAAACAAACAAACATTTGAAAACATTGAGATTTCCAATTACTCTGGTAAACGTACTTCTTAAAAATTCCCAAGAGCAAAACAAGATCTTGGAGAAATCGTAATGATTAAGGTAGAGCAGATCAAACGGATAATTCTTACTTCGCGGATCGAATTGAGACAAGATATTGCGACATCGATCAGAGCCATAGCTCTCTGCTACGTTAATCGCGAGAAATTGATACAATTGGTCGAGGTATACTGAAATCGCCAGCTAGAAGCAAGATGCTATGAGATGCGTCGCCTGAACCACCGCAGAAACACCGAATCCGCTTCGCCGGGAAATTTCACCGACGACGAGCATCGTAGCTTAGCTTGATATCGTTTCGTATGATCGTCTCACTTTATTGGGCTTTTACCTCTTTCTGGGCTCTAAGTTATCTCTGATAATGGGCCTTTTTACTTCTACAAAAGTTTTAATTCTAAAAATTTATATAACCATATTTATTTGTCTTTATAACGTAGAAACATATTTTTGCAAATTTAATGTAACACATGAAAGATGATAATCAAAGTATAAAATATAGGTCAATATGAATGATTAATAGGTGTTGTTGTGCTGACCAGTTTACTATAGTGGAACACTAGCATATCTACAAGAAGATTAAAAGTAGCTCTCACGATTATATAAGCAAATCTCAAAATGTCTTAATGTACACAACACAAGAGATCAAATCATGGTCGAGCCAGCATGGGAAGAGCTTCTCGGTCGAGACAATTGGCAAAACCTATTGGAAATACTTGACCACTCACTTCGCCGACTCATCCTTTGAACCGGCGACTTCTGTCAAGCCACTTACGACATTTTCATTAACGACCAAAACTCTATCTACTGTGGAGCCAGCCGCTACGGCAAACCATCTTTCTTCCGCAAAGTCATGCTCGAGGATGCGAAACACTATGACGTCGTTTCGTTCCTCTACGCTACAGCTCGCTATTGAAAGAGGAATGTTTGGTTCCCGAGTGTTGGTGGGTCGATAAAAACAAAGGCCTGCTCAAGACAGAGGATGGTGATTGGGTCATGGCAACTCCTGACGACGAAGACAAGCCCAATGTCGAGTTTGATTAGGAACAAACAAAAATGACTCTTTTCGTGTGTATAAATTGACTTGGTTGAATTTTCTCTTCTCTATCTGATTTGGGTTGGATTTTTTCTCCTTTTTTTTGTATGGTTGAGAACGATGTGAAACTTTGTGATATTTACTATATGCCAATAATATTCCCACACCATGGATAACCTTTTATCACTATGGATGGATCGAGTGGGTCACATACCATCATCACCACAACCACTTATATAAAGTAGAAGAACTTAATAATTCAGAAAAACATTTTTGTGAAGGGTCAATTATTATCTCCTTACTCACAAATTTTCTCAAATGGCTACAACAGCATCATGGGAAGAGCTCCTAGGCTCAAAGAATTGGGACACTCTCTTAGACCCGTTAGACCAATCACTTCGCGAACTCATCTTACGTTGTGGTGACTTTTGTCAAGCCACCTACGATGCCTTCGTCAACGACCAAAACTCAAAGTACTGCGGAGCCAGCCGCTATGGCAAGTCTTCTTTCTTCGACAAGGTCATGCTCGAATCCGCTTCTGACTATGAGGTTACAAATTTCCTCTACGCCACAGCTCGCGTTTCCCTACCCCAAGGTTTGCTTCTCAGTTCACAGTCACGAGATTCTTGGGACCGTGAGTCTAACTGGTTTGGCTACATTGCTGTCACATCTGACGAGCGGACTAAGGCTTTAGGACGCCGTGAGATCTATGTAGCTTTGAGAGGAACGAGTAGGAACTACGAGTGGGTCAATGTTTTGGGGTTTAGGTCTACTTCGGCTGACCCATTGCTACGCGGGCCGGAGCAGGATGGCTCTGGTGTAGTTGAAGGTACGACTTTTGATGATGACAGTGAAGACGAAGAAGGATGCAGGGTGATGCTCGGGTGGCTCACAATCTATACTTCTACTCACCCTGAATCCAAATTTACCAATCTGAGTCTACGATCACAGTTGCTAGCTAGCATCAAGGAGCTTCTACTGAAGTATAAGGACGAGAAACCGAGCATCGTTTTGACTGGACATAGCTTGGGAGCTACTGAGGCTGTTCTCGCCGCCTATGATATAGCCGAGAACGCTTCCAATGATGATGTTCCGGTCACTGCTATTGTCTTTGGTTGTCCACAGGTTGGAAACAAGGAGTTCAGAGATGAAGCAATGCGTCACAAAAACTTGAGGATCCTACATGTAAGGAACACGATTGATCTCTTAACTCGATTTCCAGGGGGACTTTTAGGGTATGTTGACATGGGAATTAACTTTGTGATTGATACAAAGAAGTCACCGTTCTTAAAAGATTCAAGGAATCCGGGGGATTGGCATAATCTTCAGGTAAGAATCTGCGAGGAAAGTCTTACAATCTAGACTACAACGATACAGAGTAGAAACTCTTTACCATATTGTTTTTTCCATATATGTGCAGGCAATGCTACATGTTGTAGCTGGATGGAATGGGAAGAAAGGGGAGTTTAAACTCATGGTAAAGAGAAGTATTGCTTTAGTAAACAAGTCATGCGAGTTCTTGAAAGATGAGTGTTTAGTGCCAGGATCTTGGTGGGTGGAGAAGAACAAAGGAATGATCAGGAACGAAGATGGTGAATGGGTTATTGCTCCAGTTGAAGAAGAACCTGTACCTGAATTCTAATATTGTACTTATGTTTTTCTTTTTCTTTCAATTTCATGTTAAATCAACAATAAGCAGTGCAACTGAGTGATGAAAAGACCGAGTTATTTATATTGATATGAGTTTGTAAGATGGGTGATTCAATCAACCAAAGAAACATTCAACGGTTTTACTTTCTTACATCAGAAAAGATTCATTTTCGCAGAGTGATGGCATTAGATCAAAGCATTGATTCTTGTTACTTGCTACATCATTAGGACTTGTTCACTTCTTTCCACGTAGCTTAGCTCCAAGTGCTCTCTCCAGCTTAGAAAGGATCTGCTGGTTAGGGATTGCTTTGCCAGACTCATACTCTTGAATCACTTGTGGCTTCTCATTGATGATCTACACAAAGAGAAACATTCAAGAGTTTATTTCTTGTCATGAATCAAACAATAGTTACATACAAGGGGTGATAATAAGATACATAGAGAGAAGTATAATATACCTGAGCAAGTTGGGACTGGGTTAGCTTCTTATCTGTTCGGGCTTGCATAATGGCTTTCTTTAGCTCAGTGGGAACACGTTCATCTGGATTCACAATTGCATAAATCAATACATAAAGCTCTAGCATCCAAATACACATCAGTACATAGAAAAGTTCCTCCAGCTAAAACCATCAAAGAATCAGGCGATAAAACAGAAAAACAATGTGATTCCTACTCATAACAGGACAGTTTTCTGATTTGTCATCAGACAAACATAATGAACCTCATTTTACCAAATTACAGAGGCCTAAGACTACCATTATTTAGCCACTAGGGAAGTCAATTCACCATTATACATTAGTAAGGCAAATGATTAGATGTAGACTTACGAGTAAGGTTCTCAGTGTCATCATCAAGCCTTTTGGTGTTCAGGGATGTGCCACTTGATGCCGCCTTGTTGGTTCCAGCATTGACTAAACCACACATACACACAAATAAAACCAATGTTAGAAGGAAGGAAGCCATAACTGGGAAATTGCACATAGAAACAACAAGATTCAGGAACCAATTCTAACCAGCAGAAGATATCGAACTAGCTAAATCAGCAATACAAATACATCGGAAATTTCAATTGACAACCAATACAAACCCTAATATAGATACCGTAAACAGAAATCACAATAACCCCCAAGGAATTGAGAGCTAGTCACTTCTATTGAACCTCAAACAAGAACAAAATCGGACCTCAAAATGCTCCTATAGCAAAATGAAGGAAATATTCTAGAGAGCTCTAAGCAATCTCTCAGATGACAACAATCAGAACTAAGAAAACGAACCAACCAGGAAATTATAGGGGAAAAGAAAGAAGAATCGAACATTTTCTGACGGTCTCGATATCGGCGCCGGATCGGCGAGCGGCGTTGACAGTTTTATCGTCACGCTTGGCGGCGGAGTTAGGGGCTTTCTTACGGATCACCACCGGCTCCCAATCCTGAGTCAAAGGTCCAACTCCTGCCATGGCTTCGTCTCAAAAGTTTGTTGTTACGCAACCGCCTTTTTCACAAAATCTAGGGTTTGATTTATTTCTCTGTGTAGGTGAAGAAACAGATAACAAAAGAAAAAGTTGGGAATAACACAATAAGATATATACAATACAAAAGCCGTGCGTGACCTTCACGCTACTTTTTTTTGTTAAAAAATATATTTATCTTCTCCGATAATTGATTTTGACAAAATTACATAACATGACCTTTTCGTATTTCAATTTTATATTTTCTTTTATCAACAGTGCAAACTGTATTAATGTCATATATTTTGTGTGTTTCAGTCTTTTAAGTATAACTTCCAAGCTAATTACTAAAAGAGATGCATAAGATAACTTACCATCTTTTGTACTATGTTCATTTTTGTAATTAATTTTCATGTAATACTATATAAATGTTTTGAATAGTTCTTGCAGACAAAGACAAATTAAAAATATTGTATAAACCAACAAAAACTCAACAGAAAATAATTTTTAAAAAATAGACCTATCTTAAATTTTTGACGATTTTCGTTTTTGTTTTTCTATACTATAGCTTATGAATAGTTTAAGCTTCAGTTTTTTTTAATCAGTTTTAGCCCCAGGACTATGGAATAAAGGATTATCCCGGACCTACACCGAGGTATTGACGGCGATTAATCCATCACAACCAGAACCAGTTGAAAACTAAAAAAAAACAATATTCATATTTATATTGGAATTGATCAATAGAAGAAAATTAATGAACTAACAATCATATCCCACATGAATTGTGTGTAAAGAGTTTTGGTCCTAAAAGGGTAATTTGGTAAACTTATGGGTCCTAGTTGGAGAAGAAAATATCTACGGGCACATATCGCAACAAAATTAAGAAAATTGGATCCTCTTTCATTTTTTTTTCACTCTTTACTTCTTTTATAAAAAAACGGACAAAGGGAAAAAAATAATAATTACTCTGACCTCTCTCTCTCTCTCTCTCTCTGCTTGCTTCTTCTTCTTCTTCGTATTGATTCAGCTTCTACCGAGATTGATTCTATTTCTTCCGGATCTTACGCAACCAATCACCTCAGGTTTCTTCGACTTTTTCTTCTTCTCTCCTTCCTTTTTTTTGTTTTATTGTGTTCTGCTGTTTTAGTTCTATCGGTTGTTTGAGATAACGAATCTCCGATTTTGAGGTCTATTGAAATCTGATATTACATGTCTGTCTTCCTTATAGAGATTCTCAAGCTAATTGATTCTGTTAATGCTAATTATATATTAAGCTGATGATTTAGTCACTCCAATTCGATTATATCCAGTTTCGAGAGCTACAATGTTGAGCCTTTCTGTTCTTCTGAATATTTTCTATGTCGAGCTTCTGTGATTAGGTTCCGTGATTCAATGCTTCTGTTTGATTTGAACCCCATATGCTCGATGCTCATCTTAGTCGCAGTTCCTTAGTCTCATTGGGTAAGCTGGTAATCATTGTATATTTGCCTTGTTTCAGGAAAATAATGGCTGTATGTTGTAGAAGAAGGAAATGGTTATCTTTCATGAAGTTTTAGTATCATCAATCAGTCGTGTTTAGAAAAACTGGGAACGGGCTCTTTTCCTCTGTTATCATTGACAGGTTTGGTTTTGAGCCCCTTTTTCCAGAAAAGGCGACATAGCTAGTTAGCTTGAGAATTTGGAACTTGGATTTCAGATCATGCCTTACTTTGCTCAGAGGCTTTACAATACGTGCAAGGCCTCCTTCTCTTCAGACGGACCAATATCAGACGAGGCTCTGGAGAAGGTTCGCAATGCCTTGGGTATGATTATGCACATTATCATTGACTCTTTGTCCATTGAGGTGGTTTTCAGTTTCTCGCATCTCTTATTTGAATCATCCTTTGGTGTGTTTGTGACAGTGACTTGTTTATGAATTGTGTCGCCCACAACATGTGAATTAGAAATCTAATCATTCTGCATTTACCTTATATGAGTGTATGTGTTAAGGTGTTGGTGGGAGTAATTATTTATATGTCTCATTTTAGTCTTAAATACAGTGGTCCCGTGTTGCACTTAGAGCCTTATTTGTAATCCTTGTTTCAGAGAAAATCAAGCCATCTGATGTTGGCATCGAGCAGGACGCTCAATTGGCACGGTCCAGGTCTGGTCTTCTCAATGAACGCAATGGAAGTCATCAGTCTCCCCCAGCAATAAAGTATCTTCATTTGCATGAGTGTGACAGTTTCTCTGTAAGCATACTGATTTTAATACTCTACGGCTGATTATTACTAAAAAAAAAGACGTTGCTTATTAAAGATTATTGATGGCTACTATAAGATAGTCAAATGCGGGATTGAAAGGGTGCATCTTATGTGATCTAGTTTAGGATGACTTAGATAGAACATAGCATAAGAGTCCCATTCTAGTTTCCTAGGTTTGTATAGGAATGCTCTTGGTTGGAATAATATGCAAAAACCGATCTTCCACAAGACAAAAGTTCGAATGCTCTATAGCATGAGATTATTTAGTTGATATTTAATATTCTCTTTTTCCGCATATTCGAAGTTAGGGGAATAGGGGGGGCATCTAAACATGGTCTTTGAGAGAACCTCAGGAACCCATCATTCAAGCCATGAGCCTGAAGTCTGCAAAAAGCCTATGACAAATGATCTAGAAAGTATGAGTAAACACAGTTTGAGTCAATTCTGAGTCTGTCGCTAGTCGAGGTTTTATGTCTTTCTTGTACCACCACCAATGATGTTTCTCAGCTGGTTCGTTTTGTTCAAAACAGATAGGAATTTTCTGCATGCCACCTTCCTCTATGATACCTCTTCATAACCATCCGGGCATGACCGTGCTAAGCAAGCTCGTTTATGGTTCAATGCATGTGAAGTCATATGATTGGCTAGAGCCTGAACTGACCGAACCAGATGATCCATCACAAGGTAAATGTTGTCTTTCTCTTACACTCTCATTTTTTTAAAACAATCACTCTTCTGGTCTAATTGTAAACTCTTTGATATTTAAAAGCAGCAAGACCCGCTAAACTGGTGAAGGATATTGAGATGACGGCTCCAAGCCCAGCAACGACATTATATCCGAAAAGTGGTGGCAACATTCATTGTTTCAAAGCCATCACCCATTGTGCTATTCTTGATATCTTATCTCCACCGTACTCATCAGACCATGATAGGCATTGCACTTACTTCCGGAAATCAAGAAGAGAAGACTTACCAGGTAACACACTAAGCTCCTGAAACGCAATATACAATATGAACCCCAAAAACTCGAAACCGAATTAGAATATTTGGTTGATATTGACTTGGGGATTGTGAAACGGAGCAGGTGAGATAGAAATAGATGGGGAAGTGATGACAGACGTGACTTGGCTTGAGGAATTCCAACCACCTGATGACTTTGTGATAAGACGAGTTCAGTACAGAGGCCCTGTTATTAGAACTTGAATGATAAGACTTTGTTATCTATCTCTTTACTTGTTCACATAATTTGCGCGGGTTCGATTTTTTTTTTTTTTTATATATTCCTTTTGGGAAATAATCTGAAAATGTGGGGGTCTTCTTTTTATATTGCAAACGGGATTGTTGTACATACCAATTTGTGATATGGTGTCTCCGTTTCTTTATATATGCAGTATATTGCAAAATATTTCTTCGGTAGTAGACTTCTCTAATGGCATCTTTTATCTTTTACAAAATCCTTGACATATAGTTGTGATTCTTCATTTTGTATATAATTTCTATGCGTGGTCAATTATTTCCTCAAAAGAAAGAAAAGGGTCACACCCAATTTTGTAGATTTGTTCATTTGATAATGAAGTTGGGACTGATTCGGAATAAAGATCATTGGGTGTGATTTTGACTGTTTTGATAGGCAAGGGAACAAAGCGGGTCTTTGGCTTTTTCTAGGGACCTTTTTCTGAGTCCCACAAAGCAAAATAGTAGACCCAAGATTAATCAAACTATGAGTACTCCTCCGTTAGACTATGTTCCATTCCATCTCAGCTCTTATTGTTTCACTAAAATTTTGTCATTAGATTAGCTTTCCAATTGTTCCCTTAGGCAAAAGAAAATAAAATATCAACTATCGATTATGGAGATGATGAGCATGATGTTCAACAACCAAACTAATTAATTCATAGAGGCATGCATACTTTTATAGTAGTCGAGTGGGTTGAAGCATAGGGTTGAATTTGAAAGACTAGTGTTCAAATCTTTGAATTGTGATTTTAATCAAGGATTCGTTACTCAAGACATCTTAAATGTCTTGTGAATATTCGGTTTTTCTTTTAATTTTACAGTTCGTGGAGTTGTCTTGATGCGAAACATGGAAACAACTTACAAGAAAAACCATTACTATGTTACATTGTTAGTTTTGTAACTACTCTACAAATGCATTTTTCATCTCCAAAAGTTAAAATATTTGAAGCTAATAATAATCATGGTCCTCCTGCTGGGTAAAGATACGTAGGCATGTGATGGAGGAAGAATTCGAAGACGGTGCCTTATTTTGCGGCGACTCTTTAGGGCAACATGCACAATTTTTTAGCTTCTTCTTGCATGGCATTATAATATATATCAACTTGTTCAACGTCCTTTCCGAAATTTAAATGTCTATAGTTCCTACAATATTGTATAGGTATAGAACTATATATAGATAGATCTCGCACTTTGCGCATGTTAAACGTACCAACTCATGTCGCAAAAAATCAAAACAAGACAGTGTGGCTCTTTATAGTTACGAACATACTGTTGTAGAAAAGTTCATTAACTTTGTAAGAATTTTTTTTTTTTTTTTTTTTTGCCGACCTGTAAGAAAATTGTTCAATGGTGTAATTGTGTTTATCTGTAGTTAAAATTTCTTTTTTTTTTTAAGTAATTAAAATTACCTCAATTCGGCTACCTCCAAAGACATGATTACAATGTGATATACATTTATACGACAATCCGTATAGTACCATTATCGTCCCTTGACTCGAACCCTGGTTAGACTCACCAATCATGTTGGTTCATTACTACTTCCATGGGCCAAAATTGGTGATGGTGTGTAAATTTATATATATGTATATATAGGTACCGCTGGTGTAATTATTGAAATGGAAAAACAGGAATTTTCTTGGAAACAATTCGACAAAAGATTCTCTTCACCAAATAACTTCAAAATATCGATTAAAGAAATATATATACACCACAAAAGAGAGCATGGGAAATGGAGGAATTGTGAATGAAAGTGTCGGTACGTAAATAAGTTAAGGACAAAACATATATACTACTAGCTAGCTTCCTCATCTTTCTTTAGTGCCCACATGAGTCTCTACGATTCCTTCTCTCCCATCAAAGCTCTCTCTTCGGTACTGTTAATTAAATACTTGGAATATTTGTCCTCTCTTCTCTTCTCTCCTTTGTCTATCGATCGATAACCCTAAAGTTGAAGATCGAAGCGATCATGGTAAAAAGACTTCATATATATAAATATAAAACTCAAGTTGTACATATTTATATATATGACTACGAGCATTGAAATCTGATCCTATCGCGTTTTCATATATGTTCCAAAATTGCTTGTATAGATATGTGTGTGCGTAGACATAGAGCGTCGAAAAATTGCATCGGGACGGTTTACCAATTAATTTGGTGTAGGGTTTGAGGTCCTTTTTCATTTCACATTTATAAACTTCGGTGTAAATCTTGTAAAGTGTTTGTACGTGTAAACATGTAGCTACTCAATGTCGAAGAGAAGTAAAATAGTATAAGCAGGTGTGTTACCCGAAGCCTCCATTGAAAAGGGTAAACCAATAATAAAAACAAAAAGAAAAAGACAACTTCTGTTTTTGGTACATACGTGAACCCAAGAATCTTTGGGAATCACATTTTTGTAACCATTTGACAAATACTCCCCTTCTCTTAGATTTATAAGTTTTGTTTTCAAGCGTTGGGATTGAAGACTGTCATGTATTAATTAACCTAAGTATATGAGAAATATGATCAATACTCCAATATCAACTTTTTGTTCCAAGTAAAATTTTCATCGAGATAATTTTTTTTTTAACCTAACGTTTCATCCCACCGTCTATTGTAATGGGTTGAAGTAGACAATAATTTATACCTTTTACATATATCATCATCAGGGTTCGAATAATCGAACGGTTTAGATCGATATATAGTTCTCCATGTGATCAGTTTCCCCAATGATAATCTGATTTTATTTTACTTTTGAGTATGTTTTTGAAAAACAAGAAAAAGTGGTATAATATGACAAAAGAGTAAAGCGTAGTCTCCGGCAAAGGTCAACTTAACTGAAGATTATTAAAGAGAAAACTGTTACAAATACAAGAGTGGTTTGGTCGGATTGAAATGTTTAATACATTCATCCACAAAACTACAATTCGAATGACACAAAATATTCGACTGCCAATTGTATATACATATAGACTTGACTATTCAAACCAAGATTCGTAATATCAAACATGCGACTAATTAACCAATTTAAATAGCCTCGCCATTATCACATGATATAATATATGAAAGGCATGTTAGGTAAACAGAACATTTAAAAAAAAAAAATGACACAGATTTTGGAATCTGATCGTATTCATCATATTCAACACTCACTATATTCATTATTCAAATTTTGTAGATAAATTTTTCTTTTTTTCAAAAAAAAAAGGAAAGCTATAAGTTCATATGTCTTTGTCATTAAAAGAACAAACGGATATTTTTCTGGTCTGTTAACAAAAATGAAGCAAAACCTAATAACAAATGCGATTTCACCAAACGGAAGATTCCAACACACTTTTCCATAAAAATCACTTACACTTACACGTAAACATGCATGACATAGATAAGAATATATATGTCTGTCTCTACATATATTATAGTTTATGACAAAATAATATAAGATTATACAAATAATGTTTTGTATAGTGTGGATATTATAGTATTATTGAAGGCTTGAAGCCAACGCCGATATTATCATTAGAGAGACTATACAAATATAACTTGAGATTTAACCTATCTCACGGAGTTTTTTTGTTTGTTTTTGAGTAATTGATCTCGAGAGCTAGCTAAGGACACTCTCACCGGAGAGGCATGGCCGGGACATCTTCAGCGGGAAAATGCTACACGTGGCTTGACCTGAACAGAGAAGAGACGGTGGAGAAGAACAATGAAGAAGAGTCATCAGTTGAAGATGAAGACCAAGTCACGAGTAGTAATAACGTTAGACAGTATGTTCGATCCAACATGCCTCGGCTTCGTTGGACTCCTGATCTTCATCTCTCCTTCGTCCGTGCAGTTCAAAGACTAGGCGGTCCACACAGTAAGATTCTCTCTTTCTCTCAAGTTCTATCTCTTTCTCTCTCTCTGTGGACTGTGGTTTGTAATGGTTTGCTATTGTTGTATGACTTTGCAGGAGCGACACCGAAATTGGTTCTTCAGATGATGAATCTGAAAGGGCTGAGTATTGCACATGTCAAGAGTCATTTACAGGTTCACACTATAATCTCATCGTATGTTTCCTTAAGATTGTCAGATCAGTTTTGTTGTTCTCTTTTCAATGTTTTGATGTTTTTTTGTTTTTTTTCAAGATGTATCGAAGTAAGAAGCTGGAGCTGTCATCTCGCCATGGTACGTTAGTTTTGATCCGCAGACATTTAATAATCATTCGTTCACCAGGTTTGATATGGAAAATTACTACTCTTGAACAGAAATTGGAGCTTTCATGAGTGGACAAAGAAACTATTTGATGGACATGATAAACTCCGGATGTAATCCTTATGGCGGTGATTTAAAACATGTCTATAACTCTAAAACCGTTCCTTCCAGGTCATTCATAGACACAAGTTTCAGTTCCTAAGATGTTTCAAATTTGTAGATCCGACCAGGAAGTTAAAATTGCATTTTTATTCTGCAGGGTACCCAATCTTGAAGGTAACTTTCTTATGCGACCATCTAGCTGGTTGAGCGGGTTATGCAAAAACAACCGAGACAGCATAGAGAACAAGACTCTGCCTCTGCTCGAGGTAACTTACCTTCTTTTTCAGTTAGAGGAACAGTTTTGGTAAAAACAATGGAAGATATTAAAATCTTGGTGAAAACTTATGCAGATTAGGAAGACTATCAATGAGAAAAGAGTACGAGAGGAAGAGGTATCATCAGTCAAACGATTGAAATCAATATCCGGACAGTTACCTGAGTTTGGAAATTGCAGGCAAAAACCAGCAGATGATATCAACACGATGCTCTCGCTCTCTCTGTTCTCGACATCATCACCAGGACGAGACCGTAACATCGCATAATCCAACATAGTAGAGAGATGAAGTTTAACTATAAAGAGAGATTCAAGAGTAGAGGCTTTTTGTTTTCCATAGCCGTTTCTTGGGATGAGTACTTAGCCAGGATCTGGTTCAGGCTTGATTCAGATCCTGTAAGTACTTTCCTACTTAGAGAAAAAATTAGTATCACTCGAAACAAAACACATGTAATAATAATATGTTTCTTCCTCCTCACTCTGATGAACAAAGTAATGAAGTAGTAATCGACTACAAAAAGCCTAAACGTATCAGAATAATAAATAATCATAAGCAGTACCCAAAAATCACTCAAGCAGAAAGAAGAAAATACTTAATCAATACTTCTTAGTCTTTTACTCTTCTTAGTCTTTGCTTTCAATCCACCACCAGCCTCATCACTACCATTCTCTAGCTTTTTAACCTTGAACACATTCTTTAGCTTTGATTCCTTCACTAGTTTCTCACTCTCTGCAGACGTCTTCCTCTTCTTTGTATCGCCAGAACCATTGAGATCACCATCAACCTCATATTCCAAATTCATTTGGATTTCGTCGTCACCAAGAATCTCAGATTCATTATATCTAACCTCATCATGGATCCTCCCTTTCTTCTTCTTCTTTGTCTTGACACTCTTACTAGTATCATCAACATTCTCACTTTGAACTAATACTTGACCATTCTTAGCATCTTTAACAGCAAAAGGATCAATCTTGGGGTCCAAGTCAGCTGGCACAGTCTGATAAATAGGGTATGCAAAACTCTCAGATAACTTGACACGAAAGGATCTAATGTATTTCCACTTATCAGGCAAAACATCAACTACTCCACTCAAAGTGGCCATCACATTCTCGACGATTTCATCTCTTCCCATGGACAACTTCCCGACATGGATGACACTACAAGTCCCAGTCCTGATGAAGAACATAGCAGTTCGACAAGATTTCTCAATCTGCTCTTTCCAATTCCTACGCTTCAAATCAATCGCCACAGGAATCTTCTTACTACCAAAGAAATTCTTCCCAACCGATCTCGGCAACAAAGGAGTCATTCTCCGATCAGTGAAAAACCTCTCGTAGGAATCGCATAGCTTCCGTTTCGGTTCCGATTTCAGCATCGATAGCGTAAGAACTTTAGTGATGGGTATGTTCTCGGATTTAATCTTCTTCACCACATCGTCCCTAGTGAGACCATATTTAGGTTTGTCGTGGATGATGAGACAGAGCTCCGGGGAGTCTTCGGTAGTGTTGATTAGCGGATGCGGAAGAGCGATTCGGTAAGTGCACGTACGATGCGTCTCTGGAATCTTATCCAGGGATACGGTTAGGTATACGGATTCGTCTTCCTCTGGAAGCTGTGGCTTCTCCGTTTTCGATTTTTTGTTTCTAATTTCGAACAGAGCCTTAATTGCACTGTTCACAGTCTTGGGGCTCACTATTGACGTTACCGGCGCTTGCGACTGAGCTGCGGTCGTCATTGGTAACTCGGACGGATGGTAAGTTCGTTCCATAGGGTTCTGGAAGATTCAGGGTTTTATACTTTTAGGTTGGGGAAGAGGAAACAACTTTGAAACGCGTTTTTGGGTTTCTTTTGGCCCATAATATAGTTAATGGGCTTAACTATGCTGGTTTATAAACTGCCCGCCCTAACCGAAGAAAAATCTTTAACTGAGAATTAATATTATTATTTTGTAAATTATGACAAAATTGGGTATTTTATCAATTCAAGAAATATATATAGTTTTTTCATGTATTTGAAGGTTTTTTAAATATAAGATTTTCACATTATATTTTATTTTTGCCAGCCTGTCATATTTTTTTTGGACGCCTGGCAGCCTATCATTATTAGATTTATAAAACATGGTTATATAGTAATCCTTAGTTGTCATCTTCACCATATTTACATACCATATTTACATAATATCAAAATAACCATACTTAAATAATAAAGTTGATGTTAATTTTATTATCTGTAATTTTGTGAAAAATATTATATTATTTATATAAGAGATTTGCTGTATATCTGTAATTTATTTTGTGAAAAATATTATACTATATATATAAGAGATTTGCTGTATCCATCCTGGACCAATACAACATCAACAGTGAAAATTGTATTCCTTATATGTCACCTAAATGTTATGGTCCTCTTTAGTCAATTTATAAATTTCTAAAAACAAAAAAAGCTAAACAAGAGAAGTGGTAATGACATTAATTGGATATGTCATTTTTTAGTCACAAAACAAAATGGTCTCAAATAGATTTTTCTTTCTATGTAAAAAAGTGTTTTTTTTTCCTCTATTTAAAGGTGAATTTTAAGATAAACCAATCTGTGTGGTATCTAATCGAGTTCAGTGAAAATATAAAGAGAACGAAGCTTGTCAGTTTTTTAAAACAAAGAAAACACAAAAGAAATCAATCAAAATATTGGAGTTGGGTTGGGTGAATTTTCTTCATATTGCAATCTTTTCATACAAATTGCATCCTCGTTTTTGTCAAACTCTTGTCTTAGACTTGTTCATCTACACTACATCATCATCTTCCTCTTTATAATCTATCTCATGCATGATACGATTTTAGATAATTACTATGGATCAATACTGAGACTATTTTTTTACATCTCTATGGTTTTTATGAATCAGGTTTTGACGATTACCTTCATACAACAAGCAGCTTCGACGACGTATAAGGTATACAAATCCTTTAGGTAAAGTATATATATTTTTAAAATCTTGCAAATAAAATTTTGAAAACAGTATCTTGCAAAATTAAAATTACCGGAAAAATGATCAGTTTAGCAAATTATCTTTTAGTGTGAGTGAAATAGTCAAATAGAGATATACTGAACCAGCTCACGTGACTCGATCTACGGCACATGACTTACTTGTCTTTTGTGTGTTTCCCTCTCCTCTTCGTCGGGCTTCATCACTTTCCTAAAACCCCAGAGCACTGTGTTTTTTGTTTTTTTTTTTATCTTCCTAACATCAAAATCAAAACTTTTTCAAAAACCCCCCATTTTTTTTGTCTTATGAATCGCTGTTGTAAATCTCTATGCATATACTTGCACATACTCTATGTGTGTGCACGTATAGTTCTTTGTTGCTTGATCATGGTTATCTTCAATTCTCTCTACCGTCTTTCGCAGTGCGGTTTAAGCAAATTGATTGTTGGAATTTGGAATTGGGAAGACGTTGATCTGCTTTTTGTGAGTGTTAGTTTCCTTAAACCCTTTATTCTTACTCTGCTCTTTAGCATCTTCTTCTGGAATTTTTCTTATGTGTTTGAATCTATCTTTGTGGTCGGATTTTGCTTTTAAAATTGGTAGATTGAAGAGGATTTGCTCTTATTAAATTTTCAAATCTGGGTTTAAAATCTAATGCAGGACTTTGGAATTTTGCAACCGAGGACTTGGAAATGGGAGCCAAATGTTGTAAATGTCGCAAAGGATCAGTTGAGTCAGTTAAAGGCTCTGTCATGGCGTAAGTTTTTGATGCTGTGTATCATATCTAAGAGAATTATCTTCTATTTTTGAGATTTCGTATAGAAAGTCCAACACTTCGATTAAGTTTGTAGCTAATCTTTGAGAATGATCTTGTACTAATTAAATGCTTTTGGTAAGCAATATATGGAGTGTAATTAATTAGTATGTTACTGAATCATGTATATCATGCACCAATATATTATAGTGGAAGCATTGAGGTTCTTTTATTGACTTAACCATTCTTGTTTTTAGTCTGTCCAGGACCTCCAGGTTAGCTGACCTAAGGGAACAAGCTAGAGGTACACAGAGTTTTAACTCTCCATATTCTGCTACCTACCTTTTTTTCCGTATTTTCTTGAGGGATCCCTATGGGCTAAAGAGACGCTCATGTGATTTTAGACTCTGAGGAGATGATTGTGGAAGAGACAAGAGATGCTGCGGGACCATCAGAACCAAAACCTCGAGGTCCTATCTCGAGGCGTTCAGAAGCTGAGGTCCAAGCTAGAGGTACATGACGTTTGATTCTCAATATTCTGGTACCTATGTTTTCCGTCCTATGGGCTAAGGAGACTCTCATGTGATTTTAGACCTCAAGGATATGGTTGTAGAAAAGACAAGAGATGATGCTGGGCCACCAGAACTAATAACTCCAAGTCCTACTTCGAGGCTTTCAGAAGTTGGGAAGATATCCAAGTCTGTATGGTGTCAAGGTGAAACCTCTGGTACTAAAGAATCACCCAAAAATCTTGATCCAGATGAGGTGTCAAGTTATGAAGCATCGAATTTTCTTTGGAGTACTGGGATGCTTTCTGACCCGATCCCGAGTGGTTTTTACTCTATGGTCCCGGTAAGCTATCTTTAGGTTGATTTTGTCTTTGTCCAATAATATCAGTTAGCTTTATTAATACTTGGTTATGTGCTGCTGTTTGTCTTTCGTATCTTATTATGTTGTTGAAATTTTCAACAGGTTGAGAGATTGATGCTTTCAGAAAGCATTCCTACATTAGAAGAAATTGATGCGCTGGGGGAAGAACGTCTTAAGGCTGATGTGATTTGTGTAAATTTTGAGGTCGATAAACAGCTTACTTTGATAATGGAATACTATATCAGACTTGTCGAAGGATTGCACTCAGAGCCGGTTACAGTTATTAAGAAAACTGCTGGACTGGTAAGAATGGGTGGACTAAATTTGGTAATTGTAAATTTTTGGGAGAATCATGACTACGTCAAAGATGCATGGCTACAATGCATATCATTTTGTTACTTTATTTTATGACTACATGCAGTAAATATTTGGCTCTAAAAAGGAAAACAAATATGGTTTTATCCATGGATTAGACTCTTTTAGGTTATCGGAAAATCTTAATTGGAGTTTTCCTTCTTCTGGCAGGTGGCAGATGTATATAAAGGAAGACATCTACCAATTCAAGCAAGATCGAGACAATCATTTAAAGCTCATGGGTTCCCACTGCTAGGACAAATCAAACATGATTCTTGTCGCGTTCGAGCAATCCTCTTTAAAGTTCTAGCTGATGCTGTTGGTCTTGAAACTACGCTTGTAGTGGTAAGTACTATATAAAAGGTGATCAGTGGCCTTGTGTATAACTACAATTTCCACATGTCATTGGTTGGTTCTGAGAACTTGGCATTTCGGTTAAATTTCTTGATCAGGGTTTCCCTAGTGATCTGACATCTCCTGCTAGTGTCGACTCATGTTATCATATGTCTGTTGTGGTTGCGGTCAATGATGTGGAAGTGCTGGTTGACCTTAAGCGATGTCCTGGTCAGCTTAGACCCTTCTCACCCGAGGAAGTTTATATGGCTCACATCTCAATGGCATGGCAGAGTGATTATGTAGACAATGGCTTTTGTGTTTCACCATTGGAGCCAAACAGTCCCATGGAACAGTCTGGTCCGCCATCTGTGTTACAATCTGGTTTAAGGTGATAATATACTTGTTTAGTTTTCTTGGTTATGTTTGTATATTTGCTACCACCCAGTTTTATATAGCTGCAAAAGTTAATGGTATTTTGAGCATAACATAAGATGACTAAACTAGCATTTTTGCTTGCATCCTGTACAAGCGTCCACAAATGGTACTGAGAGTTTGTAGCCATAGTATCGCCTGTTGTTGTCATTAATATTTGGTTTTATTGATATCGTTTGCTTGAAGTAAACTTGACAATGTGTTGCAGGGCAAAATCACTGCCGTCATCTCCCCAAAACTGTCAATTCCAATCATTTGTAAGGAGTGAACCTTCACATCAAGATATAAGCCACATGTGGAATGAAGTGCTGGGATCTCCTATGTTCCAGAATAAGCCTTTGTTGCCATTTGAAGAATGGAACATAAATTTCTCCGAGATGAAAGTTGGGTCTTCTGTCGGGAGTGGTAAGGATGGTTTTATTATGAAGACATGTGGAGTGTTTTCGAATTCCATCTATCTGTTGTATTGGCCATAGATCTTCAGCAAAAGAACTCGGATATGGTCTGTGAGCAAAAGTATACTTTTTTTTTCCTTTGAAACCCGATTAACTCTTCTTTGTTGGTATATGTCGTTCAGGTTCTTCTGGAGTAGTATGTCGTGGCATCTGGAATAAAACAGATGTTGCGATCAAGATCCTTTTTGGACAACAGCTTACAGTTGAGAACATGGAAGTTTTTTGCAATGAGATATTTATTCTTAGGTATGTGACCTTTAATTTTTTCTGTGCCTCTTTAAATTATCTTCTGACCTTTCTTCATGTCTTCTCTTCTGTGCAGCCGTATACGACATCCCAATGGTAATCATTATCTATACTTTTTTTCTTTTTCTTTTGAGTACTTGTCCAACGATCCTTAGGCGGTCAATCTGTAAGATTTTAATATCATTTTGTGAGTAACGAGGGCATCTGATGACTTACTTGTAGTTATTCTGTTCATTGGAGCATGCACAAAGCCTCCTCAGTTATCTTTGGTCACAGAGTATATGAAAAGGGGGTCCTTGTATGATTTGCTCCGTACCAGGAAAAGGAAGATGAGCTGGGAAAGGATACTAAATATTCTGCGTGACATTTGCAGGTATTTCATTTCTACACTGAATACTAACTTTGAGTTATCATCAGATCTTTCTTGAGACACTGCATAGATTTTATCACCAAATTCTTACAGGGATCAAGATTCACACCATCTCCTTTTGGCATAGCAAAATTTAGAAAATAGAGTCAGGAGTTTCCATATTCACTTGTGTTTTATGTGTTTCAAAGAGGTTTGATGGGCATACACCAGATGGGGATAGTCCACCGTGATCTAAAAAGTGCGAACTGTCTGTTAAGCAAGGGGATAGTGAAGATCTGTGATTTTGGGCTCTCGAGAATGATGAAAGGCCCAACAGTGAAGGACACTGCAGCTGCAGGAACTCCAGAGTGGATGGCTCCTGAACTTATCCGAAATGAACCTATCACAGAAAAATGTGACATCTTTAGCTTTGGTGTTATAATGTGGGAGCTTTGCACTCTATCCAAGCCCTGGGATGGAGTCCCAAAAGAAAAAGTATGTCCGTTAAACAAGAACGACACTTAGTAACTAAACAAAAACATCGAATCTTAACCCGGATCTTGCAATTCTTGCTTTCAGGTCATTGATATAGTCGCATATGAAGGAGCCCGGCTCAAAATACCTGAAGGACCACTAAGCGAGCTCATCGCAGGTTTCTCAAAAATGAACTCTTGTTTCTCCTAGAACCTTTACTGTCCTTTAGTAAACAGATGTTTATGGGAACTTTTGTCTTGTTATAGATTGTTGGTCGGAGCCAAAGCAAAGGCCGAGCTGTGAAGAGATAATGCACCGTCTAACATTCTGCGAGCTTTCGATTCGCTGATTATGTGAGTTGTCTGTTCTCTATGTATGTAGAAGATGTTGAGGCATTAGGTGTTAGAAATTCATCGAGTTTTGTAATCCTGTTCTCCGTCTTCTTCATTGAGTTTATCATTAATAACAATGGATTTTTTGTATTATGAAATCATTAATTGGTTGCAAACCATATAGACTTTGCTCTTTCCTTTTACAAACATATATAACACTCTGACCATACAAATAAATTGGACAGTTTCTGAAGCCAATACAGACCTAATAGTATATGTAACTCGATCTGAAGTTTTCAGTCAATGATGTTGCGGCTGTTCAATTGGTCCTCGAAGCGGCTACACGAACCAACTCTCATCTCTGTGCTCATATCGTTCTCCGGCGCAGGATAATAGTCTGCTCTAAGCTGTACATCCCTTAAGTTGGGGATTCTCAACAAAAAGTTCATGAAATGCTCATGAGCTGTTCCATGGATGAAGAGCTTCCTCAGAGTCAGGCACTCTTGTAACAGACCTGCTCCAGGAAGCGAGAGACTCCTCTGGTTAACATCTCTATCCTGTGGTGGCCAATAATCAAGCTCAGTCAAGCTCAAGCTTCCAATTCCGGTCAAGAAGAATCTTTCCCACAAGCTCAAATCCATCTGCATTGGCGGTGCGGTCAGTGCAAAACCGATTGTGTCCCCACAATCTAATTTCATCTTAGAGAGCTTTGGGTAGAGAGCAAGACAGCTTAACCCGAACTCTGGGTCAGCTGGCCTGCGCTTACCTCTGCAATCTCCTTCTATCTTGATCCTAATCTCTTCCAAATTCGGACAGTCATCCAGTCCTGTCAAAGGTAATGGTGTCAGAAATTCTCCAACACTGATCCATAAAGACAGACACTCTAGTTTCTCCCATACTCTGTCTTCAGAACAGAATCCATTCCCATCACTGGTTGAACAGTGGTCTGCCTCCGATGAATACTTGAACCTCTTGAGGCTCCTCTCGTAATCATCATCATCATCTTCATCCTCGTGGTTAGTTTCGCTTGTTTTGAACTTTTCTTCTACCACCTCCTCTGAACCAGACCACACACAGTCTATATGCAGTTTCTTGATCCGATCGCAGATAGGCTCAATCGCCTTTAAAGAAGAGGTTGTATCAAGATGCTTGCAGCAAGAAATTCTCACATCAGTTAAAGTGTTTCTCCGCAGGGAGACCATAGTTCTTAACCCGTTCACTGTTACATTCTCACACCCTTGAATCTCAAACTTAGTCAACTTACAACATCCTCTCCCTATAGCCACCAAACCCATATCAGTCAAATCACCGGAATTCTTAATAGACAAGGACTGCAATCCTCCACACAAGGCAACACCATCGAGCCGCCCCCAGTCAGTAGCAGAGCAAACACCTTGGAACTGACCTAGCTTCAATGCTCTTAGCCTCTTGCATTTGGAATTCAATGCCTCTAAAGCTACACCACTGTGGCTCACATTCTTCCCTACATCAAGAACCAGTTCCTCTAAATTCGGTAAACCTGAGAAAACCTCAATCAAAGTCCCAGGCGTGACAGCCGAGTCTCCAGCTTCCGTACCTGAAATCGCCCTGGGATTGGCCAACGACGCTGTGTCTACCATATGAAGAAGCGTTAATTTAGGACAATTGGTAGCTACCGCGGAGAGAGTCTCATCTCCGACAAACTCAAAGTATCTCGGATCAAACGTACAAGCAACACGAAAAGCTCTCAAATTAGGGCAGGATTTAGTGATACTGACGATTTCGCTAGATTTGTAACCTTCGGTGAAAGAAGCCGTCAAGAGATCTAAGCGTAGAAGCCTGGCAGCGACGTCAGCATAGCGGAGAAGAACAGGAGGCAAGTCTTCAGTCCAGTGATAGAAGGCGGAGAGATCCAAAGACTCAAGGAAAGCACAGCAGTGTTCAAAGATAGGAACAAAATCGCCACCCAAAGGGATCTGAGAAGCTCGCTGGTGCCATCGGAGGAGCTTGATGTGACGAATACTGGGCCATTGAGGAAGCAAAAGCTCGAGGGAGGAAGGGGAACGGGAGTAGACGTTGAGAGACTCGACGGAAGGGAAACAGAATTTGAGACGGAGAGCGAGAAGGTTCTGGTGATCGGGAGGGAGAGAGGCGAGGAGAGTGTGACCCCAAGGAGAGAGGAAAGAGAGATCGAGGTGAGAGACAGATCGGAAACAGCCGGGAACGAGAGAGAGATCACGGGCGTTGCCGCGGAGAGTGAGGTGGGAACGAGTGGATCTCTCGAGAGCGAGGAATTTGTGAGAGACGAGGGAGAGAGAGTTGCGGGCTCGGGAATCGGAGACGAGGGAGGAGATAGTGGATAAGATGACGTCAGGTAAGTCGGAGAGAGTAGTGGTGGGAGAAGAAGAAGCCATGATGAGAAGCGGCGGAGAGAGCTCAACTCTAAAGATTTAGGAAGGAAGGAACAAAGAAGAAGAAGAAGAAGAAGAAGAGATTTGTGTTGGGATGAGATAGAGCCACGCCACGTGATACTGACATTCTCCTCTCTCTTCTCTCCCTCTTTTTTGTTTTTGGATAAATCATAAAATGTCTCTTTGCTGTGTGTTACGGGCAAAGGGATCTTAAAATAGATATAATTCTTCTTTTTTTGGGTTTTTTTTTTAATTTGTTTTTTGCATACAACAATATATATATATATATATATATATATATGCCTTTATATATCTTACTAACAATTATAGTTTTGTCGAATCTCCTCTAAAATCATCATCTACTGTATACTGATAGGTGATATACTTAGTTCATGTAGATCAAAGTACAAAGTACGTCGGATTGTTTTGTAAAATCTAAACTAAAATACAGTTTGAAACATCCTCTCATTTTTATTGTCTTTTAAAGCAAGTCTGTTTGTTAAAATAAAATAAAATAAAGCAAGTCTAAATTACCTCTAACTAATTGTATCTATACAAAATCTTATTTTCTATTAACCTAAAAAAATTATTCATCCCACTCAAAACTATATATTTCTAATTATACTATTTATATGTACAACTGCCTGCTTTATCAAAGTAGTCAGAAGTAATAGATAATGGGATTTGTATTATCTTTTTGGTCAAAAGATTTTGTGAGTAATTTTGAATTTATGCGTGCTTATCTGATGATGAGACTATCTTTGGAGAAACCAAAATCATACTTTGCTTGCTTGCATTATCCGACTCCAAACAATATGAGTCGTTTGTTCGTGTGGATCATGTTCTCATCACCTTTTATTATTTTACTTGGGTATGATAAAGGTTCACTGCCATGATCCGACGACTTAACGATGATTTCGAAATCTTTGAGATTATGGTAACTAGTACGGATATATCAGGACATGTACCTACTTTACTGTCTCTGCATGCACTCTCTGCTGTCGGAATTTATAAAAACGTTTAAAATGTTAACCGATCGAAGCTGTCCAATACTAATCTTACTAGCTAGGTGTTGTTGTCTAGCTCAGTTCAGTTTACTAGGGCATAACAACTTTTTGTTGTCAAGGTCAGGTATTATGGAATTGACGCCTTAACTTGACAATTTGGTTCCAAAGCAGTATCACAACAAATATATATATAATGAAACCTCTCTTTCAAGTCTCTCCCTTATGTTCCCACTCGAATTGCATATTTTTCTGTAAAGAACAATCCATCCACCTTTGTCCCGTGCATGCATCTAACATTTTTTTTTAAAAAAATCTTTTCTTTAATTTTCCCCTCAAGAATAATACTAATACCAACCTCCTTTTTGTGTAGCTACTCTCTGCACCTCTTATTTTGTTTTGCTGATGATAGTGCATGAGCTAGCTGGAAGAGGAAAAGGATAAATAAAACTAAGCACAACTCACTCATTTGAGAATATCAAGAAATATTCCAATGCTATTAACCGCATATATATATATATATATATATATATATAACACTATTTGAAAATAATAAGAGATGAAGGTGAATAAAATAGCAGGAAAAACAAGAAATGTGTTAGTCTTTCCTATAACGTTAAATTCAATAATGATTGTTTCATGTACACAAAATATATTAAAAAGTGCAATTATATGATCAGGAGATTCTAGTTATATCCCAAACTAAATTTTCATAATTGGAATCCGTAATAAACTAAGAATACGCACCACTGAATTTTCAAAAGAAAGCATACGCACCACTAAAAATTTTAAAGTTGAATTGGTTTCCATTTTAAGATAAAAATAGATCCAAAAATAGTGAATTGATTCAGTTGAAAGAGCATCGTATGAAATAGACTTCTGTCTTTTTTAATTGGATACGATTCCCTCTCAGTCCCTGTTACATTACAGATGAAAACATAACATATATATATATATATAGGGTTTTATTATTTTTCTTTTTCTTTTTATATAAAGAACGATTTTCTATTAATATATGGTTTCATTATTGCTAAACGCAATTTTATTTATAACAAAAAAATAGTGTTAATTTTATTTTAAAAGTTTAATGGATAACTCAATGGGCATAATCGCACGAAAGCAATAGTGAGCAAGTCGATTGCAAGTTCGCAACTAAATGTTTTTTTCTTTTTCTTTTACTTACAAAGTGACTAAGTGAGAAATTTAAGATTTGTGGGGCACCCATTATCTCTTGCCTACTCATCTTGCCGGTCACAAAAAAAAAACGCATACACACATACATATACATGTGATTACACATGCGTCAACCTATAAACGCAACTATTTATTTACATGTAGATCCTACCACTGACATAGTATACCATGTTTTTGTGCCCATGCTTATAAATGACTGAATTAAATTGTGGTATACATGTAAATTTAATGCTATTTTATCTTAGAAAAAGTGATAATACATCAGTTTTAATTTGTACAAGTTTAATTACTACTAACTAATGATTCCAATTATGGGACTTGTGTAACAATCTCGTCTTTCATGCTTTAATTTGAAAACCCTTTTATTAAAAAGAAGTGATAATACAATGTACCCTGCACCAATAATATCTTTGGGGGATACTATAGTTATATACAATATCTATTTATATAGCACTAATACAGAAATACAAAATATGTGGAAACCGTTGTATTACGGGTCTATTAGATGTTTAATAGCAAACTTATCTAGTTAATGAGCATACCGTAACAAGACCGTTTCAAACTATTTAAGAAACATACACTAAATTGATGCATTAACTTAGTGAACCCAAGTATATATTGTTCTTACATATTCTAGTTTATATAAATATATTCAAAAATAACTATGAATGAAGAAAGAATACGGACATTCAAATCACTATAGAAAGAAAAAAGCAGAATAAATTGTACAATTTGTACTTGCTAAAAGACGGTTCAAGCCTTCAAGGTCCTGCAGGATCAGAGGTACCTCGCTAGGTATGAGTAAGGTTTCCTGAAAAAAAAAAAAAAAGGTTTCGTGCCGGAAGATTTCTTGAGTGACACTTTCTCAGTGTAATTTAGTCCACGAAACCATAAAAACTATGTCAGCCCTTATAAATATAACCAGTAGTATATAGTTTTTTTTTCTTGGCACGAGAGGTAATTTACTTTATCAGTACGTTAGTCATATATATATATATGCTCGGTTAAATAAAAATCCGTAGGATGATCATTATGATAATTAGCAATAATTTGTATAGCATACTTAGATTACCTTTTAATTAGCACGCATGAAATCATGAAAATGGGAAAACGTGGAACAATGAATGGCAAAATAATCAACCAAACGCTCGAGCATGAAAAAGGAAACACACATACGATCGGAAGACACGTACGTACGGTCCCTTGCAAAATACAAAACGTATTAGATATTTAGATAGATACATCTATGTGGAGAAAGAGAGATCGCACGTTCGTTGAAGCATAATGAGCCATGGAGGTACTCTATATATATATATATATATATATATATATATATTTATATCAAAAGTATGTATGGATAAGTGATTACACATTCATAATAGTACTCCATAAGTGATTACACATTCATATATTATCGGTTAATTGTAAAGTAAAATGTTTGATTTTCCTTTTTCCCACTTTTTTCCTTTTAGACTTTTGGACATCAATAAACGCACTTTGGCAGCTCATAATACCCACATATATCATATAATTTGACGGATATTGAAAACACCTAACAACATCAAAGTTATCTACAACATGATTCCATTTTCACGGTACGTGCGAGGAAAAGGAAAACGTTTTTGAGTTTTGTTTTTTAATCCTCATGTCAATCAAAATTTCCATATAGGCCATAACGGAAACAGGAGACTAATTATATAATTCATCTGTTTTGATCATTGCTCTCAGAAAAATTGGAACTCTTAAGTTAACCAAAAAAAAAAAAGAAAAAAAAAAATCGATTTGGGTGTAAGAAGAAGAAGAGATGTTGGGAAGTTGGATTTAGAACAACAAGCGCGGGGTCCAAAAAGATTTCACTAACTCTTTTTAAAAATAAAAATCTTTACATGTCATTAACTTTCTTCATATGTTAATCGGACATGTTCAATGGTAACCCATTAAAAGTGTCTAAAAAAAATTTATGATGTTTTATGTAAATTTAATTTAAGACACCCACAAAAATGTCTAATATTAAACACTTTTCTTAATATTGGACCAAAATTTTCAATAAACTATATAATTATATTTTTAACGCCCATTTTTTCAACACCCTAGTATCTCTATTGTACATGGTCTAATATAACATTTACTTAGATCTGATCGTTTTCTTCTGTTGTATAATATTTTATTATATATTACTAATCTATAGTTTAGAGTAATTTAAAATGTCGTCTTAAAAGCTAAAACGCAAACGCTAGAAAAAGGAAAAGAAAACGTTATTTTAAAATCAAAAATTAATCAAGTGGAAGCTTTGGTGGGCCTGGGCCTGGGCCCGGGTATTGAATTAAAAAAAAAAGACCTTAAAATTGAAAAATAATAAAATAAAAGAAGTGGTGGAAAAAAGAGAGTGACGTGGAAGTAGATAAGTTGGTGACGTGAAGTGGAGTAGGCAATTTTTTTGTTTTTTTTCGGGGGATAAAATAAAAAGCTTGGTGTATTTTGTGTGTCGTGTGTGTTCCGTTGTTTTTTTTTTTTTTTTTTTGAACACATATGTGTTCCGTTGTTGAAAGGAGACTACAACAACACACCATTGGCCATTGCTGTCTCACGAGTCACGACGATGCCCAATGTCGTCGTTTTGCTTTCTTTTTACAAATCCTCCTCCTCCTCCTCCTCTTCCGCCACCCTCATGTCTTATGTCATCAATCTTTATCAATGACGTGGACGTCTAGTTAACAAAGCAGTTCCCACGTGTCGCATATGGGTTTGTTTTTAATGCCAACATTTCTTGTTGTTTTTGTTTTTGGACCTGTCTATTTATTTTAATCCTCTTATTCGTTTGATCTTACGTTTTTTTTGTGTTAAAAGTATATTGAAAAAAGGATGTTGTGGTAAAAATTATTATTATTCAATTGTCAATTTTTCTTTTTCTGAGATTTTGGTATCAGAATTTCGTTTTAAGTATCGCGCTGATAATTCTCATTTTTTTACTTTAGGTTGATTGGATTTTGTCATTGGGATTAGTGAAGAGTTTATCAGAGATGAATGATCCCGTTTCCTTGGTTATGATAAAGTAATTTAGGACATAGAAACCATTATTTTGTATGAATAGCAGCTCACTAGATTTAGGTCATGACATTATGGTGGTTGTGTACTTGTGTTGTTGAGTAGAGAGAAGAGGACTTCACGAGAACTGGAAGGAAATCAATATGGATGGACAGTGTTCGGCCCTATCATATTGGATTATATTATTCATTCTTTGGGCCTTCCTTATACGTTGTCGCTCATATACGTTGTCACAAAAACTAAAATTCGCTTACGTTTGTGTTTTCATGTGTTACTACACGGCGGGAGTAAATTGTTTTCGTGAATGGAGCAAACGATTAAACATATCGAGCATAGAACATACAATACATGTTTACAGAAGAGATGGTTTACAGTTTTCTGTGCCGTGCGATGGGTAAAGAGGCGAAACCAAGTGGCCTAATACGTTTTTTCATTGGCGTAAAGGTACTGCTCTCGTGTGTATAGGACATGCTCCGATTAGGATGATATATACGGGTGATTTCTTCAATGAGCGAAGCCGAAGGTAGTGCAATTCTTTAAGTGTGAAGACGAGCATCCCTTTGCTTCCTTATGAAATAAAATGAACTTATGTGATGGTACTGGTATATTCTGACGATGAGAGTTGTGTTGTTTCAAGAAGGAGACCAAAGCTTTTGAAGCAAAACCACTGAAGATTGTCGATGGAGTGAGCCTGATAGTGGGGGAGAAGACATACCAAACTTCGGAGATGTACGGAAAGACTAAGAAGGGATGTTATGAAAACATAAATGTGATAAAAAAAAAAAAGTACAAAAAAAAACAATCGAGGCTTAAAATGTCTTAGCTTGTTGACGAGCGACACAAAACCATCTTTTCTTTTGTTCAACACAACCATCTTTAATTAACTATTTAATCAGGTAATTTGAAATCCTTGCTTATATTTGACAGATTAATATATATATATATATATATATATATATATATATATATATATATGCACACTTATCCTTTATATATGGGGAATATGCTAATTGTAAATTTTGTGGATTATCATTGGCTCATTGCTCTTGTTATTTAACATACAAATTTTTCAAAGGTTTACTCTAAGTTCATATAGAAGGCACTTCCTTTACAAGTATAGTCTCTTGTATATTGTTGAGAGTCAAACTCATAACTTTGTTTCATTTAAAAAAACGTGCAATACCCCAACGAAGCTATAGACTATCTCTGGAATTACACAGTATCCTTGAAAATTATAAGATGATATAAAATTACTCTGAAGACAAAAATGTGAATTGATCTATTGCGCTACCAATCTATTTTGTAAGAGAACCCTACCATATACTATAGTATAAGTCTATAACTTCATGTTAAATTAATGTTATTTCCGTTAAAATAGTTTTTCTTTTCTTTTTTTCCATTTGGACTTACCAATTACCAATATGGTTTTTACTAGGTTAAATTTTTAGGTTTCTCTTATTTGTTGGGACCATCAGTCAGGAAACTAGTTTTTTCTTCACTATTTTCCAACTGATTGTTTTGTGGCTGATACACTAATATATTTTTAACTAATCAATGTACTAGGTTTTATCTCTAATTTATAACGTAAATTCATCAATATCATAATACGCCAAAAATAATTCAGTGGTCATCAAACTCTGCTGTTCCACCACATAGTTCATTGTTTTCACTCAAATCCAATATGTTGGAATTATATAAGACATAAAAGAACGCAGACATAATAAGAAGACATATAGAAGTACAGAACAAACCTGACTTCAATATTTATAATAAACTCTACACACTTACTTATTCAAAAAGAACTTAATAAGTGGATAAAGATAAATATAGCTTAATAAGAAAATAAGAACGATATATATGACCGAGAGCTACGGAAATAGAGGAAGGAACGATGAGCGGCTAAAATGGGCCGAAAGATGTGTTGAAGGTACCACCATTTCCCTTTGACTTCTTGACCATCAGTAGATAGATTTAAGGTTTCTTACATTTCATCCCTCTTTGAAACTCACTGATCCTGCCAATCTCTATTGTAGCAAGATTAGTTCACTGATTAATTGCCATAATTAAACACATAGTATACGCGCTTAGCTAAATTCTCAAGATGCAGAAAGATTAATTAAGGTATATATATACAAATCAAAGGTTTAGCCATAACTATGCGAGATGCATGCATGCTTCAATGCCAATCCATCCAAGATATGTTCATTAACTTATGTTTCGTGTGACTTATGCTTCGTACGTACATTGTATCATCGAACAAAATCTATAAAGCTTTGCGGGGGACAAAACAAACTTTCAAGCTTTTCCAAAGTTAGTGGTGACAAAGACCCTAAAGAAAGACGCATAAAGATTATTCGAGCAATTTATTTATTTATTTATTTACCTAATTAAGAATGAAACTATATTTGAGATCAGAGAAATAAAAATGATTTAGGTGGATTCAAAGAGAAACTTACTGTCCCACAAAATCTAATTATGTAATCTCAGAAAATGCCAATGTATAAATGTTTAAGCATTATAATTAAACAGCCCTTACTTATTTTGTATTTTATCAACAAGCGGCCTTCATAAAAAGTCCAATTAATAAGTCACAATCCAAGCTCTAAAATCTGAGGTCCTAATTACACAATTAACATGACTAATAATGTTGAAGTTTTGGTGGATTTGTTCCTATTGAGATCATTCTCCTAAGACCCACATTGCAATAGTTTAAAGCATGGATTAAAATACTATTAAAGTATATGTGTGAATTTCTATTCTGAGATAACCTTATTAACCTTTGAGAACAATCATGGAATCTCAATCATTAATCGATTTATCTAGGTTATAAAATTGGGGGAAAAAGGTTCAATCAATTGCGCTCTTGATCATCAATGGGGAACCAAATCTACAAAAATCTTTAAAGAGATGCATTCCAAGAGCCAATCATTACTTTCTAGAACCACTGTTTATATAAACAACAGTGGTAAAAATATATGTATGTATATATAGAGATCTCTTTTGCTCTCTTTGTAAACAGGTTAAATCAAATGTGTTTTTTTTTTTTTTTCAATTCTTGAATGAGTATTTCTCGAGGATAACTTGAAAAACCTTTAATTTCCACACATATATATTAAATAAATGGAATGCATTTTCAAATTAAGGTTTGGGAATCAATCTAAGCTTTTTACTTTTGATACTAGAAGATCGATTAGATTAATAAATCATCCAATCAAAATTTTACTATTTTCTGTATTTACCAATATTCCGAAACCAAAATCTACTTTCATTGAAAGAGCCAAATTTATTTTAAAATAAAATATTCTCAAAACACAAATCCACTTCCATTCAAAAAACCTAAGTCCCTTAATCTGCACTTAAAATCAATAATGTTCTAAAATCAGATCAAGACTTTCACAGAACTGGATAGCCTAAGTATTTATCCAATTAGGGTTTTGATTTTATAGACAATTCTACAATAGAAAGGATGTATGTTCTTACCCAGTAAAACCACAGTTTCTATAAGATTCTAGTCAAGAAGAGACCAAGAAACAAAATCTATGTGTATCTAGATGTTTTGTTTTTATGTGTAAAAATGAACGCAAAGGTATATATATATATATATATATATATATATATTACAATAAAATAAAATAAAAA